TGATGGAAGAGACAAACTACACCTTCGTCCGAGAGTTGGTCTATGGGTGGAAGGAAATGGTGGGCTCTTCGCACCTTGGTAGGGCTCCACCACCTGATGAGTGAGACACATTCATGCATCAGGCAGCATCACAGTTATACCTAGTATATTGTTCCCATCATTAAACTGAGCTGGGTTGAACATCTGGAGAGATTTAAATTGTAGTTAGACGCGAAAGGATAAATCACAGAAGTTCTAAAACGTGGGTTGCATTAAATCCGATAGTGAGTTATAGCAAGTTTGTCAACAGGAAACAATTAAGCACAGAAACTGGATTTCTTACATGGCCGAACTTAAAAGAATGGCAATATCTTGTGATTTAGCGACCAAAATATCAATTTTTCTGTGGATTGAATAATCCAGATATACAGACAAGGTTGTTAGCTATGAAGGACTTGACATCTTCAACTGCCTTAGACATAGTGAAATCATAGGAGAGGTCCGAGATGGATATAACCAAATATTAAAATTTTATGTATTTAATAAGTTATAATATTTAATCGTATGTACTATTCCTGAAATATCTGTAATCAGAACAACCCCCTACAACTATTTGTTTGAATTACTGATATCGCACTGTATTTCAGCTGGTCTTAAATTTTTGGCAGACAGGCGGTTTCCTTTGAAGAAACAGCCTTATCATTTAGATAATAAAAACCAGTCCATTTATTAGTTTATGCAATATATGAAAGTAAATTATATTGTTATGCAAGAAAACAGGGTTGTTAAATGTTGTCAGTTAGAACCTTTCAACACAGAGCTTTTCACTTACACAATAATCAATTTTTTTAATACCCAAAACTAAATTTTCTAATTATACTGATTTTAATTTGATAATTTAATTTTAGGATTATAATAAAAAAATAATTCTCTAGAATATTCAGGGCCTTGAACAAAATACTGATAAATAGAGCAATCTAAAAGAGGATATCAGAAGCTAATCATGACTATACTAATTGCAGATAATGATAACAATGAATTACAATTGCAATTTTAAAATTAACACCTACATACCATAAAAATACTCACACTAAATGGACTAACACCATTATAATAAGCAAAAATACATCACATAACAATCAACTATACTATACATCTAGGCAAAATCACATAAAATAATATTAATATCGCAGAACTGTTGTAGAAAACCTTAATTGTCCACAATTAACTATTGACCATCATATTTTGAATACATGTTTTTTTAGTTCTTTAGGTTGCTGTTTGTTTATTTATTTATTTTATTTTTTTATCTTTCACAATATATTTTATCTTTATTTTGCAATAAAGATTAAAATATTTTAATTGAGTTAGCAACTTCAATTTTTTATCATGACTTATTTATTTTAAAGTTTTGACCTACTTATCATTAGGGAAAAAATATCTATACAAGACTACTTTCCGTATTGTTTATAAAACTGACAATAAATCTGTGAACATTTTTTTTTTCTTTTTGTAAAGAATAATATTCATAAATGTTTAAAAACAAAACACATCTTTTTTTCTTTTCTTTTTTTTCTCTATTGAATCATTAAAAAAGTAGATGAAAGTGTCCATGAAAAAGATTCATAAATAAGAAAGGAAATTTAAGTACTCTGAATGTTTAAGGTTCATTAAATATGAAATAAAACATTATTAAATATTTAAACTGTGAACATAAAAATAAATATTATTTGCAACTCAGTTAAATGTAGTCAACTGGTGTATATTTTAAAATTAAATAAATCAAATATTATCAAAAACTAATTTATACAATATCGAATGGACAATATTTATTTTATAAAAAAAGAAATTCAGGGTGCCACTTTTTCCATAAATAAGAAAATTAAGTGTATATTCGTTTCAATAGATCAATATAATACAAATGTATACCATTAGTACATGTCTCTACTAAACATTTATGAATACATCTTTATACATAAAAAAATGCAATATATAATTTATATAAGAAAAAGAAATTGTATAGACATTATCTGTATTTTTTTTCTTTAACTTCAAAAAAAAAAATAGTATTCCCTTAAAGTTTTATATAACTGAATTGAACATATATCTGATAAAAAAATCAAATAATTGCTAATTATTTGATTTTTGTTTTACCTTCACTGAAAATTTCAAAGTTTCTATATACCATATTCATCAACATATTTTTTTTTTCATGTCCATCAAGCCCTCGAGTATAAGTTAGACAGACGGACTCAAGATTTTTCCACTAGATTGACCATCAGATATTAATTAAAAATAATAACAAAAATTGACAAGACTTAATAAAGCATGGTAGAAAGTCGTAGCAGAAAAATGAATATAGGCTCTTTTAATTTATAAATACCACAACATATATTCATTTTTGGCGGATTACATTGAAAGAGAAAACAAGTTAAAAAGAACAGAGGAAATAGCATGTTTACATTCACAAGTAAAAAAGAAAATTGGCAGGACAGCAGAAACGTCATTAATCAGAAAAGAAGAAAGCAAAGATGACAAAAGGAATGCAGCAAGAATTGGAAAATATACATATATATGATTGCAGCAGAAATCAACACAGCATCATCCAATACACTAACAGATTTTGTCAAGACAGAAATAAAATCAGACAAGTAAAAAGAAAGTGAAAATAGGTCCTTATACCAGGGAAATGATTTTTCAATTGCTATTTCATTTATTAAGGACTACTTAGCAACAATTTTTTTTATTTTTAAGATGCAATTGGAGCAATTAGTTCTAATATGAATAAAATTTTAAACTGAAATTTAATTAGTATGCCTATCTACTTAGACTACATTTGTATACAAAAAGCTTATTTTTAAAATTAGAAAATCTTCTATACACATGAACAACTTTTTGCAATGGCCCTCATGAAGGTAGTTACAAAATCTAGATAATATAATAAAATAGTATCGGACATTGAATTATTTTTATGGGTTAAATTAGAGTTATTGCTAAAATACTTCATGCAATAGATTAATTAATTATTGTGTTTTAAATTATACCAAATATTTAAGAAATAAATGAACACTCAATGCTAATTCAAATATGTTATAATTATAATAATCATTGAACTACTCATTATTTTTCAATTGTTTGAAAATATTTTTTGACCCACCCATCTGCAGTATACGCTATGCAACACTTAAAACCAATAAATGTAATAAAAATGAAAACAGAATGTATTCGGCAATTAATTGATGTTTCCAGAATGATCCCAAGCTCAGATTATAAAATAATAAACATTCCATTATTCAGCATTTGACAAGCAGTCTCTCACATGGTCTTACATAAAATTTCTCCTCTATCTCCAAATGAGGTGAAAAAAAAATATGAAATGCAATAAACATCTTTTGACACAATACCCAAAAATATTTATTAATATATTCACAACGACAAATAAAAGTCAAACCAAACTTCATTATGATCTAAACATTAGAACACAAGATGAAAAAAAAAAAGTTCGATATTCTGCTTTAACTTTAATGTACCAGGAAAAGAACAGAGTGAAGGAGATAGGTACGAGTGTAATCTGAAAAGTTTCCGACCACAACGTGAAGATGGCAGCACTCGTAAATAAAAGCAAGTTAATTTCGTTGTTCATCTGTTGACACAGGCTCCAAAAAAAGCAAATATGGCGACTGTTTTTTAGGATAGTCATGGAGTTATTTTAATCAATTATCTTCAAAAAAGAAAAACCATTACAGGAGCATACTACGCATCATTACTTGACAAGCTGCAAGCAGAACTTGCAGAAAAATGGCCATATTTGCAGAAAAAGAAAATCTAGTTTCACCAAGACAACTAGTCTAGTCTCACACCTCAGCAGTTGCCATTGAAAAAATCTACGAATTACAGTTTGAACTGCTTGACCATCTTCCTTACTCACCAGATCTAGCCCCAAGCGACTTCTTTTTGTTCCCTTGTCTAAAAATTGTGCATATATATATATATATATATATATATATATATATATATATATATATATATATATATATATATATATTTTAGACATAAATTTAAAAAAACAACCGTAAACAGAATGAATCGATTATCATAATATCAAGAGATTTGAGAATGGGAAAGACTGAACATAAATCTAAACCCTTAAACACATTGGATCATTTGTTGGTAGATTCAACAATTTCATAACAATAATTCAGAAAATTGCATGAATCTAGACGAGTTTGGCAAAAATTTCTGATTTTTTCACATAACATAATTCCCTGACTTTCCAGTTTTCCTTATCTGTAGACACTCTGTAATCACTATTTAACAAACACCACATAGCTCTCATATCATACATTAATTTTGGAAAAAAAAAAAGTATAAAAAGCAAAAAGTTGAAATGTCTATAACCAAAATAACCACCTCAAAAGCTACTGTCTTTCCAACAAAAGAACACCATTGAATTAGATACCTCCACAACAAGACATGCCTTCTTAACGTTCAATATATGCTTGAGCCTGATTCATAAAGAAAAATACCTACCCATAAAATAACAGTTTATATGTTTCTATTGTTCTTGTAATCATCAAGTTATTTAATTATATTAATATGCAAATCATCCTCGAATAATAAATTTTTAAAAGATGAAGCATTTGAAAACTTGACAGAACAATAGTTAAAGTATACTCCTTTACTAATCTTTCTCTTGACTAAAAATAACTTGTACAAAACATGGTTTCCTTCACTAGAAAAATGATAGTGCTTTACAAACAGTAACAATATATAACTGTTTTAATCAAACAAGTGAATGATATCATTTAACAAAAAATTAAATTTTAAAATGATATAACTGAGTTATAACATAGTTATTCAACTTAAGCAATTATTTATTCTAAATTTTTTAACTGCTTGATTACAAAGATAAACTGAAAATATTTTGGCTATTTACAATGAAATTATATACACCTACAACTATTGGCAACACTGGCTCTGAAATTAATACTGTTAATAAAATATGAGAAAATAATGCGTACCTCTTCGCTAGTGGTCTTATCTTGCCTCTGGTTAGGAGTTCCTGGTGAAGAAGAAGGCTGGAAAAAAAAATAAATTTAAAATTAGCAAGTTACTAATGAGATAAATATGGATGATATGCCTTTCTCAAGGAGAACAACAAAGATATTTGAGGCACTCAGCCATAAAATATAATAACTGACAAAAAGAAAACTTTTTACAATACTAAATGTTTGTTATTTAAAATGCTTTATGTTCAAACAGCAGGCACTTACAATATCTTAATACAAACATTACTATTTAGGATTCTATCAACAGGTTATTAAAAGATTCAGAGTTTTCAGAAACTTCAATTCACAAAATATGTCTGTTCCACCTTATATGAACATGTGCTTCATCATTTCGTAATGGGGTACATTAATTTTATCCACCTATGTACATGATCAAAACCATAATTTGTTTTTATTAACTATTTTTATAACTTAGTTGTTTGTCGTTCCTAAAAATTCTTGCCACATTTTTGTCTATCCAATCTCACTCTCGAAGACCTCTGGCAGCCATGCCTTCCTCCACATCCTGTAACCATTCCTTTTAGGTTGTCCTCTTTTTCGCTTTTCTATCCTTTGATAGAGAAAAGTAATTTTTGGCCATCGCTCCTCCGTCATTCTTTGTAAATGGTCACACCATTTCAACCTTTTTGTTTCTATGTCGTAGAGCATAGTTGTTCCTTGCTGAACGTTTTGCCTAATAGTTTTGTTGGGAACATGCTGTAGAAGACAGTGTCTCTTAAGTCCATTTCCAATTATAGCAACCTTGTCTTCACCTATTTGGTTCCAATCCATGTTTAAAATCCAAATAGAATGCCGCTTTCCAAAAGAAATGGTATTACTTTTTTTTTGTTTGGAGACACCTATTTGTTCCATAAGACAGAATTTAGTGTTCCTATTATCCACCTTTCTCTTATAATTTTTTTCCATAATGTCCATGGAGGAGCTTTCATTCTCAGTTATCCATCTACCAAGATATTTAAATTCATGAATTCTTTCTAATTCCCAATTTTCTAGGGGTAAGGCTCTTATATTCCAGTTGAATGCCAAATACTTTGTTTGCCTCCAGATTCTATGCTCTATACTCCTTTGCACGTCGCTGGCATCTTCATCATCATTTGCTATTACTACCTGGTTGTCGGCAAATCGTAGGGTATAAAACCATCAATATGTTTAATAAAATATTATAAACGTATGATCAATTGTCATCATCATAATCTTTTTCCTCTTTACTGCTTATGCAGTGTGAGGTTGCTTTTTGTAGGACTTGGACCAGGTGGAATTTTCCAATACCAGCTCTCATCTCCTGTTTCATTCTAAACTTCGCTTTTGGGACGCATCCTGGACGTCTTATTCCTAGGAAATTCGGGATCTTTTGTTTCCTGCATGGGAGTCTGTTCCTATCCATATGGAGAAGATGGCAAAACTATCCTGTTTGGCTCAGATGGTTGTATTGAGAGTCCTGTACTGCCTAGTCTTTTCCTCGACCTCCCGCAGGCATCGCATCTCTAGAGCCTGGATCTGGCTCCTGTGCTTCGAAGTAAGTGCCCAGGATTCAGCAGGATACATCATTATAGGAACTCTGGATCTGCAGACTGCCATCTTCATTTTCTTGGTTTGAGTTCATTCATGGATTCTTTTTAATTTCCAATTTTCTAGGGATAAGGCTCTTAAATACCCATTAAATGCCATATAGTTTGTTTTTTCTTAGTTCACCTCCAGACAACATGCTCTATAATCCTCCAAGAGGCCTTCCTCAGTATACAGCTGGCATCTTTATCGTTATTCTGTATTACTACCTGGTCATCGACACTTCGTAGCGTATAAAACCATAAATATTTTTAATAAAATATTATAAACGTGTGTAATATTACTCATAAATATAATAATTAAGTACCTGTGGCAAAAGATCTGGAAGAACAGAACTAGTTCTTGATCCAGGAGTGCCAAGTTGTCCTTGGGAAGAATCCATTCGATGAAGTTCTCTTCTGTCTTCCCTGCCACCCTATACGAATAAAAATAATATTTTGTGATGTAGAAAACAGCACCTAACAAATAATCTTTATTTATTATTAATAATTAACATAGAACAACTTATAATCATGAATAAATTAGTTTAGGGATTCCCAAAGGACAGAAATTAATATTAATTTGGGTAACTATATTCTTTATGTTTTAGCTGATTAAGATTAGTTTTATGTACAATCATAACTTTCATTAAATGTTAACATCGTTAGGACGTGATAATAATGTGGTAATATGTGATAGCTCATGTTGCAAAATAATGTTATAGCCCAAAATATGAAAATATGAGAACAATAAACTCAATTATCGGACCTCCCAATAATCAGAAAATGAGAGTAATAAATAATGGTATTAATAATTAAAATGTAAAAACTATATATTATTTACTTTAATTATGTATTTTTTAAAAACTAATTTTTCAGCCTCCTCTATATGTTTTTTACTTCCACTTATCTATGTATGAAATATACAATAAGAGAAAGTATTGCAATCATGAAAAATTTTGAATCCGAGTTTTTAACAAAAATAAAAGTTTTGAAATCTCCTGAGTCCAAATAGCCAAGTCTTGGTGTACGAGTCTGTGTGTGAACAACAGCCTAAATAAACAACAAACTGTGGTAAGAAACTGAAATTATGTACTTAAGGTTTGTTCATGGCTGGAATGTTAAAGTAACTTAAAAGGTCTTTAACTTTAAAGGTCTAATTTGCAGATACTAATTAATTTTAGTAAAATATATTTTTTTAAAAATTTTATCCTTGTTATTTTCTGTAAAGATGGACTAGGCACAATCACAATATAACTATAAAATTAATACATTAAATCCACCTATGTACAGAAATAAACAATTCTAATATTGAATTTTGACTATAACTTTGGGAATTCCTGAACTTTTATTTTTTGTCTGAAAGAAAATAACTTTTTTTTAAGATATAATTTTATCTGGCTATATCTCATGAAACATCCATTTGAGGGATTTTATTAATAAGAGAATATTATTTTTAATTAATAATTTGTTAATTAGTAAATTAGGAATCAATTTGTGAACAATAAGACCAGAGTAGTTTCATGATTGGCCATTCATAACCTCCAAGGCTTTGTTATCAGTTCATCTCAATTCAATTGATAAATCTATGATTCAATAATCTTAAAGACCTGAGACTATTTTCCAAAAAAATTGAGGATGATAAACATCGATGCAATTTTCCTGCCATAAATTTATTTACCCTCAAGCTGAGACATTTTATGGAGAGGAAACTAGTTTTAAAAACTTCTTTATTAGAAGAGTTGCTAAGAAGTTAAGGAGCATCCATTGACATATCATGTGATATAACCAGATACATATATTAATTAATTTTAACCAAAATACTCGATAGACAATTTTTAAAGCCAAAGAAAAATAATCAAAAACTTATTTTTTATAGTTAAAAAAAAAAAATGAAGAATAATAGGGCTTGACAAATTATTGGTTATAATTAAGAAAAAAATAATACATCATAATTATGAAGTGACACATTAGAAAAAGCTTTAAGTGCAGCCAACAATGAAAAAACACATAAGATGCAATTAACACATTAAAAAACAAAACAAAAATCATGCTTATATTTAACGATACGTGCAGTGAAGTTAAAATATACTACCCACGTGAGAACACAAAACAAACAATGAAAACTGCCATGCTGAGAAAAAGCAGTGCCATACGTCATCAATTGATACACAGGCTCATCCTCCAGTTCATGCCAACCTTTATCAACTCTAGGGAGGATTCATATTTCTGAGCACTCTTTAGGATATTTTTGTTTTGACTTTTAATATATTGATATGAATTATCATTTACACACATGATCATGTATATTCAATACTCATGAATAACAAAAAAAAGAGAGAGTGGCTAACTGGTGTCGTTAATTAATTTATTCGACAGATATATTATTGCTGAAGTAGCTGAGCTGAGGCGGGGATCTCGTGGCACTCTGGACATGACACACACAGAATACAACTAAAATATAGCCACAAATAATAATTATAGCTTAAAATATATATATATATTTAAAAAAAAAAAAAACATGAATTCTACAACTAACAATTTGTAAAAAAAACAAAAAAAAATTAAATAACATTACATCCCCTATGGCTTCCCATTTCTAAAATATATATGTGCACGGTGAAGATTAATATTTATTCAAATTACTTTGTTAGTATCATAAAACATACAAATTCTATCACAATGATATTAAATTATTCGTGTTAATTTAAATAAAAAGTGCATATTAATCATAACAAATTACAAAAGGGAAGGATAATGCAAAAGAAGGAACCAACCAATAAAATAATGTGTGTTGTCACATACACAATTTAGGGTTAATACAATAATTTTAAAACATTTACAATAATAGCTCTTAAAATGAAACACAAATACATACAAAAATTAATGGTTGATTCCTCTAAGAATATGTTAGTCAATGCAATTAGCAGAACATGTAAACATTTTATACTCTGTTTCTAACACAAAATAAGTTTTTATTATTATTTTTTTAACAAATAAAAACAAACAATCAAAAAAGCAAAAAATTAACACTAAGCTATCTCGTTTATCATCATAAAAATTCCAAAGAATGTATTGTATATAGTTTTTTATTTCTGCACCTAGAAGGAAATAGTCAACGGAGTTAATTTTCAGTAAATCATTGAAAAACTCAATTTAAAAGAAAAAAATAAGAAATATACTTCAAAGAATTTGACTAATTTAAAAAATATATTACATTTTAAAATAAATCACATACGCTAGAGAATGAACACATATGCAAGTACGATACTCTAGTTCAAATAAAAAAATATGTCACATATTTAATCAATTGTGTAAATATTTACAACAGCCGATTTTTACTCTAATAGTTCTACAATAAGTATTAACCATTAAAATTTGACATGGAATGCAAAATTTATTTATTTTTTACTTGTATACATTAGGTAATGAATGAACTTAAATAGTTTAATACAGGTATTATACACTAAGGATTTAGATAAAGATTTCAAAATCTACCTTTTGAACTAAATGGATCACTGATTGTCAAAGGCTTTATGGATTTATTGAAAGATATAAAAAACGATTCTATCGCCTACCAGCACACACATACATTGTTAGAATTATTCCAAAATCAATTGACTATTTCCTTTTATATATTACCAAATATTGCTCTAAGTAGCTAAAATTGACTAAAAAAAGTTTTGCTAAAAATTAAACAAATTCATTGCTGACTCATTTTCAAAACAATTTGTGAATTAGATAAATAAATGTCACAAATAAAAACTATGAATTAAAAGCTTTGTCAACATTTAAGTTGGGTGGATAACATTTACAGAAAAAATGTGAAACTGTATTTGATGTTAACTCAAGAGATGTCATTATTAGAAAGAAAATGTTCTCTAAAAAAAAAACTTTCTATTTAATAATTTTTTTTTTTAATCCCTGCAGATTTAGAAATTTAATATAAAAGGATTCTTAAAGAAAAGAGGGACAACAATGTAAAATAACTAAAAATGTTACCTAAATTAACACAAATACTTCCGAAACGAGAGTCACTTAAAATGATGAGTTCTATACGTGTATATGATTGTGATTGTTTTCAATTACTTAACATTTTTAATGATGCATGATAAAAATTTAATGATACTAATTTTTTTTTAAATTTTATTGTCAATATTTCTACCATACAAACAAAATTGTTTTTACCTTTTTTACTTATTGCACAAATAACTCATTATTGATTATAATTAGGGGAATGATTCATATTATCAACTTTACTATTCAGTCTTTATTTACAATATATTAGTAATACCAAAAAACAATGTCATATTTTAAGAATTTGTTTTCTACATAACAATCAAGTCCCTGATAGTTACATATAATTAAAGAAAAAAAATATTAACAAAAAATGTTTGAATTAGTTCAACAAAGCAATACCTCACCGATCTAACCTTTGAGTTATAAATATTTAAATAAGAAATGAACTTGCTTTCCCTCTAAATCAGTAGTTCTTTACACCAGTATAAGAAGGTGAGAAGCATTTTAATTTCCTTGGCAAACTATCTTTTGATCTGTTCTTCAGTAAGGAAGAACAAATGCTAACTATAAAATGCAAGATTGATCTTTTGGAATGATACCCACTGTCTGGAATTTGATAAATCCTAGATTTCATCACACTAGATCAAACTCCGATAACAATAATAATAATTGGTGTCAGTAAATATGGTATATTTAAAATTTATTGTATTGGATTGTATAATATATATTAATAATTTGAGTCATGAAACTTAAAAACCAATCCAGTAGTTAGTTCAAAAAAAACATTACACAACATTTAGCCAACAACCCAAACACATAACCCTTGGTTTTGCTTAGCTTAAGTCAGGTAAAAAAATAATGATATTATAACTTACAATTTTTTTTTTCTAAAATTAGTTAGGTTAAAAAATATAAATATTAATTGAAAGAAAACAAACGTTTTTAGTGGATTTAAATTTTCTATTATTTTTTGGAGGAAAAGATTAAATTATTTAATGTTCCTGCTATTCTACATGAACTATTTATACCCCATTAATTGCCAAGAGTTATATTAATCCGTATACTGAAATATTTGTAGATAGTAAAATTCTAAAATAGTCTATTATAAACTTTTTTCATTAAAATGGGAAAAGGTGCGATTGATGTGACAAAATTATCAATTAGGTATTGTGGGTAAAGGTGCTAATTTCATCCTCTTGAATGTCAATATAATTTTCAAAATTCATTCACAGATGCCTGGAATTGTGATAGTACTCATTAATTCTGCAGATGACCAGTAGGATCATGGTAAAAAAAATGTGGAACCTACATTTCATTGGAATGATCGTCTGTAACCACCGAGGCCGAGTTCAGAACTTATTTATAGGACAAAGAAGTGCTAATCACTAAGAAAGTTATGAACCACTGATCTAAGAGTTAAATAAGAAAATAAGAGAAAAAAAAGAACAAATTCATAAGTAATATTCAGGTATTCCCTACGAAAATCCTTTTACTTATATCTCTAAAAATGGATTATGATTAAATGGCACATTTTGTTACAATGTCTATGAAAAAAATGAATCAACACTCTATTTGTCTGGTAAGAAAACTAAATATTAATCAAACTCACTCCATGCAAAACTATCTCTAAGATTTACCATTGATCTTCAATTTGATAACTGATATGAGTTTGACATGAATCAAATAATGCACACTAAAAGATATTAAATGTATCTGGCCTCCAGAACAAAGCTACCCTCCACAGAGAAAATAATACTTCAGCTTAAAAACTTCCATTAATTTTTAAAGCACAAACAAAAAATTATAAACAAACAATAAATTAATTTTCAAATACAAGAGCACATAAAACCACAACAGTATATAATTAAATGTAGAAACAATCGAAGCATTAATCAATTTCATTCCAAACAAAATTCTGCTTTCAGGTAAGACTATCAATTTTAAATAAAGCAAATCGTTGATAACAAATCATAGGTTTCACATTTTACAATAAATGTTATCCATACAACCACATCGTAATCCCATACATGAGCGGAAAAAAAAATTAACAAAATATATATATAAGAAAAATTAGCATAAGAATAAAGAGGAGAATAGATGCAATTAACTGCAGTTCGCCAGACGAAGACTCACCTTGAAAGTGTTACTCTTGTCATGGGAGACTCTCCTTCTCCCTTCTTGGCGGAGAACAATATCCCCTTCGGTTCTCTGCCTCCGAGGACGAACGGGAGCAGTCAATACAGGTTCTCCATTAGCCGACTTCAACCCAGCTACTTCTGAACCCCGCCTCAAGCTCTCTTCGATACTCTTTTCTTCAAGAAATACAGCTGAATGCCTCGCTGGAAAAAAATCTGAATTTTCTCTTCTCAATCTGAATATCCGTGAGAGTTCAGAACCATTCCTTCTATGAGCCACCCTCTCAGAAACTGAATCTTCTTTCTTTTTATCATCTTTACCTTTAGAGGAATCCGGAGATGTGTCAGAAGTATTTGTATTTGTGCCTCTTAAGCGCTCAATTTTCTCATTGAAATTCAATAATAACTTTGACAAATCCCAGTCATTAAGTAAAGATGTTTCTTCGGAGTCTGATACGCGTTTAGACTTTTCTTGAGTCCTCTTTTCCCCATATAATGGTATTAGATTCAAGAGTGTTGGTCACAAGAACAGAAATATCCATCCAAAAAAAGAACAAAAGTAAATCAGTCAAGAAAGTTAAACTACATAATCATAAAAGGTTAAGTTTTCTAATAAATATATATTATCTTGGCTTTAAATTAATGCCTGTCATAGAATATATGTAAAAAGATAAAAATATATATCAATACACAATCAACAAACACAAAAATTTTATAGAGGCACTATGAAACATTGATTTTTACGAACAATGCATATGAACGATTAAAACACTGACAGCATTCTTAAAACCATAAAGCTCATCATTCCAAATGATTTTAATAGCTTTAATGTGCAGCATTATTTATCATTTACTGTGCTACACATTTAAAGTAACTCTATGATAAGGAAAACAATACACAATCTGCTTTTGATAAATTTCATTATTTTCTAAGTGCATTGCCTGACTTGTGCTCTTATAACAGGAAGTCTGAAAGAATATAGGCAAAGATTGCCATTGCATAGGCTTACCCGTCGCATGACTAATGTCCTGTCCCCACTTTCCTCTTCATCGGGTGTTGGTGGTAGAGGTCTATTTGGAGCTCCTCCAGAAGAAGACGGACCTAATTAAAAAGTTTTAACCTTAGAATATTGGGATTTTGAACAAATAAACTTAATTCTAGATGTTTTTTTTTTTTCAAAATTCAAAACAAATTATTAAAAAATAAAAATGACAAATAAAAATAATAATAAATCAAATTTAAGATAATCAAAACCGAATCTTCTAAATTATTATTATTTGAATAGTTTCTTTCAGAAAGAACATATGACACTTTCAACAGTTTTGAATTAACAGTGATTTTCTATACACTGATCATAGACGTAGTTTTTGGTAAGAAAAAAAAAAAAAAAAAAAAAAAAATATATATATATATATATATACTTATTCAGCAATACACTCCTTCAAAAAATCATATCAAAACATTTTGAGCAAGTAATCAAGAAACAAAAAAAAAGGTCAATCTCCTAAAAAGATTAAGTATATGTTTCAAGATACAAAAAATAAAAAAAACGAATTCATGGACCGAAACATGATCAACTGCAGAAATAATAGTATGAAATTTGCATTTTAATATATGAATTTACATGTTATACAATATTCACAAATACGAGCTGTCTTTATCTGATTAATAATTATGTATTTAGATTACCATCTTTCTCTTTTTTATATTCTTTTACGGTACAATTATAAATATACCTACTCAGGCATTTTTAAAATGATATATCCAACTTTCTTTTTCCTTAGTAAAAATTTAGTATTTATTTATTAGAAGAATTTAATTAATTCTTTACTTTTACTTCATCTTTGTTTCTCTGCCGAACGGTGAACCAACCCACATTTTAAAAATTAGAAATATAAAAATAACCTTGTTCTGGAAAGAAGTCTCTTAAGAACAGAAAAAAAAGAAAGAATTATATCTGAATTACATTATACATGAATTCATTAAATTACATATGTGTTGAGGATCCTATAATCTCCTACTCTCCTAATAGAATATTAAGACCTGAAATTTGAACGGAATGAATAATTGCACGAATAGGTATTTGTCTTGTATTTGTAAAATAAAATATGACGACTACTAAAAACTTTTTTATTAATGGAGAGATTTAATGTAGCAAACCTTTTGGCAAAAAAGAAATATTTTTTTGTGCACGACTTTGTTAATCTAAAGGAACTTTGTCCCAGAATGAAATTATTTTTCTATTTCTATTTTCCAAAACTTTCCGAACACTTAATGATACTTGTACTGCTAAAAATGACATGAATAATATAAAGTTAGATTATTTACACTATTTATTTTTATTTCTTTATATTTCACTACTATATAGTTTTTAGAGTTTTTCAAAATTTATGAAAATGTCAAATGTATCGATTCTGTAATAATCGATACCTTAAAAAAAAAAAAAAAACTAAAAATTAATAATCTGGAATATAAAATTAATGAGGAAATTAACAACTAAATTGGAATAATAATATATTTCACATACCCTTTACTTCATGAAGTATAGACTGGGAATCTGCTGGTCTGTAAGGAGAGAATTCAGGCCTAGTAAGTGTGCATGTAGAAATATAATTTATATAATTAGTTAGTTAATTAAATTTTTACAGTTGTAAATTTTGTTTAACAGTTTTACCAGCATATAAGATACATAAATATATTATTTTATGATAATATCAAATCTGACCTAAATCAAACAAAATAAGGGTGAGAAGAATTAATCAGTTTTCATTAAATACATATCATTGGTTTATTGTAAAAAGTTATTGAGTAACATGTAAACGAATTTGAGATAATCGAATTTGAAGTTCCTTATTCCTTGAAAAAAAAAAAAACGCCTGCCAAGTAAGGTCTGTATAGCTTCCTCATCGTTTTCATTTGCTAAAAAATATCTATATTAATAGGTCTAAAAATTTTCTTATGAGAATAAAATCTCTAGAAGAAACCGTTTTCGGAAATACAGTAATCTCTCAACATATGCGGGCCTAATATCTACTAGTTTTGTTTAAAAGCAAATACTAAAATGAGAATAAGTTCCTAATTTGTAGATTGCATATGTGATAATTCGTAATTAAAAAAAAAAATTCCAGTGCATACTGAATATGTATCTCGCTATTGTTAGTGCAAATGACGTATATAAAAATTGAGTGTTTTACAGGAGAACATAAAAAATAATTATTTCTTTATGATTTATTAGTATAATTTTATATTTTATTGCCCTCTGCTATTTTTCATAGTGGTAGACTACTCATGTCAATTGCAGACAACAACATACGACCTTTGCACTAACAGTAGTGATATATACTTAATAGGTATGTTTTCACTCGTAAAATGGATGGAACAAAAAATCCATAGGAAAAATTCAACTTTTTGTTTGTTCAGAGTTAATGAGACCGATACTTTTCTTCAATCAGAACAAAACTATAACTAATTTGTCTTACAAAAATATTGGGCCATTTGGCCTATATAACCTCGTTATTTTGATAATTTGGGGGTGAAGGTCATGCCAAATGGCTCGATATTTTTGAAGGCCACCTTTTTTCTCGACATTGTGCTCAAGTTATCTTACGATGAAAGTGGAAAGCAAATGTGTATTTACGAGTTTTTAGTACCTAATTAAATGGACAAAGTTTGCCGACCTCCAGATTGAAAACACTCCAATTCCGAGAATTTTTATAAATAAAATATTTGTAAGTTACGATGAGATGAAGCTATTTATGAAGTTTCAGCCGGATGTTAATAATTTAATAAAAAGGGGTCTATACCACAGACTATTATTTACAGTTCTATATTTCACCACTATAATCATCTACACTGGAATCAACTTACTCACTGTTTGTAGAGATATTATAAATTTTCCAACTAGAAATAACACTAAAATGACATTACTCAAAAATGTTGAAATTGGAGTTGTTGCATTGGAGTCTGTCAACAGAAAGGCTCGTATTTTCAAAAAAGTTTCAGATAGCTATTAACTAGAAAAACTTGTAAATATAACTTTTTTTACATAATTACTGAATACTTATGGTCTGACCTAGTTTATAACAACCCACTAAGGGTCTTGGGCACATCATTTGGTAAGGAACTGATGTTTCTTGACCAACGATTAAATAAAAAGGTAGTAAACATTCACGTCCCAACCATACGGATTATCCCCCTACCACTTTATAGAGGCTGGGTATGCCTCAGAAGTCACCCAAACCAAATGAATCCACCACTGATCTAGAGGAATAAATAAATTATCTTTCACAGCCAGAAAAGAGACCAGGCTTGGAATTTAGGTTGTACCTAACCCACTCCATATAAATTCTTATATCAAATAAATTTTTTTTTTTTTAATGCGTAAATCCTAGCATATATATTCAACTTTTGATAAACCAATGATCCCAGAATCTACTTACGAGGAATATGTTACTTACAGAGGCTTTGGCGGATCTGAAGCGAGTAGCGTGCCATCATTGCCTTGGCGGCTACCACTACCTCCTACAACCTCATCCTCTTCCTCCTCGGTGTCAGAGTCGGATTCTATTACCCCCGTAGTCGGAGGTTTAGGTGCACCATTCTGTCTTCTACGTTCACCAAAATCGGATAGCTGAGCAGCGAGCATATCCAAATCCTAAAAAACAAACAAAAACAGGTAAATTAACTTCAGTTATTTCTTCCATACTAATCACAGGATTAAAATGAGTAAATATTTACTGAGGCAATCTCAAATAAGAGTAATTCATGATAACCTCATTTCTTACCTCCGGTCTTTTACTAGACGGCAGCTAAGCAGTGAACAGTGAAGTGTGAGAACATGAAAAAAAAATAAAGAAAAAAAATACTGATAAAAATATATAAAATAAATATTTTTTTAAAATAAAAAATAAAACAAAAAACAAAATAATGCAACTTAGTCCTTCGACAAAACACAAGAAAATTTGAAATAAATAAAATAATTATGAACCATGTTTATGCTTTCAATAATCAAAAAGAATAATACAATAATAACATGTTACGTGTTACATATAAAAATCTGGTGTGGTGTGCGCATCAAACAACTTTCACTTGCTACCCTCTTCTAATCAGAAATAAGCATTTTCAGACAAAGGGGAAGTGAAAGTAAATATTATAAACGCTATATATTGATTTATATTTCATTATGGATATTTTCACAAAATATACTAACGAAAACATTCAGGAAAACCGCATATGTATATGTATATAATATTGTCGGAGTCCGCATTATATTATGCTCATGTCACGTATGGAAGCCTGTAGAGGAAGCTAATATTGAAAATTAGCCCTTTAAGCCCTGTTAGAGAACATCAATGAGATTAAAACCTCTATAATATTAAAAACTGCTTAATTTTACACTGATATAATGAATTTAATCAAAATGGTTGGGGCCGTTTTCGAGAAAATAGTAAAAATATGTTTCATTGATGATATAAAATGCCACTTCTGGTGAGCCGATTTTGACGAAAAAGATGCAAAGAAGACAAAGTTTTTGAGCCAGACCTGTCACATACATAGAGATACACGTACGCGCGCACACATACACACACACCATTTTGCGGGACTTCGTCATTTGGACTCAGGAGACTTCAAAAGATGTATTTCCATTGAAAACTCAGATTTGAAAAATGTTCACGATCGCAATACTATCCCTTACTATATGTTACTTTATATATTTCATGTATAGGTAAGTGAAAGTAAAAATATATTCTAGTAATTGCAATGGAATTACAAGTAAATCAAAGGGGAAATAGATACTTGTTATAGATTAAACATGGAAATGAAAGTTAGATAATAAAAATTAAAGAGGAAAAAGCTGCATACACTAAGTTGGAAACCAATAATTACAGAACAAGAATCTTTATTATAAAGAGAGAAGATAATAAAGGAAGAATCATGTCAGGAAAAAAAAAATGAGTCCCCAAACGTAAATATTTAGTCAGGTAATTGTTTACTATAGCAATATTTACTGTAATTGAAGTAATGTTAACGACTTAACCAGTTTTAACCGCCCTTACCATAGGTTTGAAGACATGAGAATTCCTCTGCTGATTAGGTTGAGGTTGGTGCTGTGAGGATGGTTTTTGCTGCCGATCTTCTCGTGGGGGAAGCGGAAGAGGTCTCGAAGGAGGATGAGGTTCAGGAACAACTGAATCAACAGATTAATACAAATTAGTACAACAATTATATAAATTGTTATAAAGGAAATATATAATTTTATATAAATCTTAACACTGTTAATTAAGTTTTCAGCTAAATATGAAAAAAAAAATTATTAAAAAACTCAATCTTAATCTTAAACACATTCTTCTTCTTTTCCTTTCTTCTCAGAGCCTTTCAGTGTGAAGGGAGCCTCAATCCATTTATGCCAGTCATCGCAGTCCCTCGCCATAACCCTCGAAGAACACAATTACTTGTGCTTGCCTCTTTCCATCCATTCATGTTTTCTGGTTACGTCCTCTTGGCCTCTTTTCTGTGGATCTTGTCTCAAGAAATTTTCTAGGTTCTCTTCGCCCATTCATCCTCATAACATGAATGAAATATTGGAGCATTTTCTTTACCATGGTTTCCAACTTTTAGAAATGGTGACACCTTGACATTTTGTCTAATCCATTCATTTCTGATGTGATCTTTTCTAGCTTAGCCAGCAACTGTTCTTAGGTAGAGTATGTTATAGATATTTTTTTTTGACATACTACACACGTTTTTTGTATCATATGCACATTCTTAATCACTTGAATTCTATTCTCGCTCAAATTTACATGATTTTCTTCCATGTACGTACCTAATTCGCCTTCTTTTGTTTTTGTTTATAAAAATAAAGTCCTTCATTAAAAATCTAATTAATGTTTAATTATAAAGTTAATTATTACAAGAGATAAATAATCAGGAAGCGGTCATTGTTGAGATTTTGTTTTGTTGCCGATGTTTGAACCCAAACATGTGGGTCAATTATCAGGGCATGTTTACAGTTCTTACCATATGAGTACTTGAACACCTTCAATGCTGCAAACATGACCTAATGATGACCCACATGTTTGGGTTGAAATAACGGAAAAAATAAAAAATGATCTCAAAAATTACTGCTTCCTGATTATCTCTCTCCTGCGATATATAGTGCAGTCGACTAACTTCCTTCAAAAATTTACTTATTTGTTTTATTTATAAGTGTTTTTATTAAACAAACTATACAATGTGAATTTATAATATTTCCTGAGCAAACCTTAGAACCTAAAAAAATACATAACATTTAATTATTAATATTACAAATATTTAATTTTTAAAAAATAATAAACTTATTCAGTATATTTGCTATAAATATTTCTATATGAGAATAATTATTTAGACTTTTAATGATTTACAAGTGAAGAAAACCTTATTTGCCATTATTAGCATTAACCATAAAAGTCAAAATACTAAAATGAAAATAAATATCTTACCAATAAGACGTTGCGGTATGGCAGCTCGAGAGGGTGGCCCTGGTTCAGGGATTTCTTCTTTCTCCTTGCCCCCTTTTCCTTCTTTGGATGGTGGAGGTTCACCCTGCCCCAGCGTCCGCCCTTCTTGAATTTGCTGGAAATTCCTCCGTAAGGTATTGTCACCCGGTGCTTGAACGATAGAAGAGGGCTCACCAGCAGTCGCAACTTCCTCTTCTTCGTTTTCACTACCACTGTATCTATATTCTTCTCTTTCTGAAATGGCAAACAAACAAGAAAATAAAAAATTAAACCTAAAAACATTAATACATCTTAAAAAAAATTATTGTTAAGTTACCTTTCTCCTGCTTCCTCTTTTTACACCTGTCAATGTGGTCCTTCAACTGTATGCGGACCTGCCTTTCAGTAGGTTGGTCCCGAATAAATGGATGTTTTAAAAGCTGTTCGGTATAGGGCCTTTGATGATAATCTTTAACCAGTACCGTCTCTATGAAACCTGGAGTAGATTGAACGGAATAAATCAGAAAACAGAAATATAAGAATTGTCAATATTTTTTTTACTACATTCTTATTAATTCAAACTTTTTTATTTATAAAATAGAAGAGATAAGGGACTTATTGTTATAATTTATAATAATTATTCACTGTTGAGTTTTAGACGACGTTATGAACATAGAAACAAAACACTTAGTTTTTGTTTTCTTATTTCAACAGTTTCTGTCCAGACATATAGTATATGGGCTAGTACTCAACAAATAAGTTTGTGCACACTGTTCCTATCCACGTAAGGTCTGAGAATAAATTAAACTATAACTTAGGATTCTGCTCTAACAATAAATAATCATTACATATAAAACATCATTTTAATCAAACAGAAATTAAGCCTAACAACACTAAATATTCCTGAAAATACTTGTTTAAAGCAAACTAAAACCATTTATTTACTAAAGAAATATTAATTTAATATATATGTTTAACTTATGTAATTATTATTACTTGTTTTTTTTAAGTTATGATATCAAAATTTAATAAAATCTTAAGGTGACAACTATATTCTGTAAGTTTAACAGGTTAATTTTGAAGTGTTACCAAATAGCTTATATGTAGCTAACATTTTATCATAGGGCATATAATGCAATTCAAGTGAGGTAACAATTTTGTAAGTTTTATCTCTGAATAAACAAATACTACTTATCATTCTAATCACCGAGAGAGTAATTGGACGCTGAAAGAACCATTTTCAAAACCTCTTAAATGGAGGATCTTGGGGCATGATGGAATGATCACTCTTGACGTCCCACTGAAGCTAGTCCACCTTGTCAGAATGACCATGAAGGTTACTCAATGGTGAGAGTATACAGAGATACATTAGAGTTTTTCCATATCTACAAAGGACTCAGACAAGATGATTGTGTAGCATGCCTGCTGTTTAATGTTGTATTGGAATGTACCCTAAGAAATTCGGGAATCCAAATAGAACGGACAATTTTCAACAAATCGTACCAAATTCTTGCTTATGCCGATGATCTGAATGTCGTAAGACATAATTTTTTTAGTATGGAAAGTGCTTTCCTAAATTTGACAAAAATAGCCTTAACAAGTCCAAAACAAAGTACATGCTTTGCAATCCTAAAAGAGGAGAATTATCTAGGAGGGAGAGTAAAAATTGGGAAATTCAACATCGAATGTGTTGAGGAATTTATTTATCTTGGGACACTGTTGACCTTAACTAATAATATGCAACCAGAGATTCAAAGATGGATGATGGCAGCTAATAGATGCTATTATGGACAACAGAGGCATCTAAAAAGTAAATCTCTATCTAGGACCACCAAGATACGTATTTACAAGACATGGATAAGGTCTATCCTCACCTATTCATCTGAGTACTGGATGATGACAAAAGCACTAAAATCATCTATTTTGAGATTCAAAAGAAAGATTTTAAGAAGAATTATAGAGCCTACATGTATCAACGGTGTATGGAGATCGAAGAAAAACATTGAGCTTATGAATCCTATTGATTATGAATCTCTACGACGACCTTGATATCGTCCATTTAATAAAGGCTGGATATCTAAGATGGGCAGGGCATATTGCATGCATGAATAGTAATGAAGTACACAAATTGCTCCAAGAAGAAAAAATATTGGGACGTAGAGGAGTTGGAAGACTTCGCACTCGTTGGGTGGATTGCGTAGCAGTAAATACTCAGAAGCTGTTAGGTATAAGAAATTGGAAAGCAGCACCACAAAACAGAGAAGACTGGCGGCCCCGACTGAGGGAAGCTTTGAATCTCCAATGAGTTGTGGAGCTATAGAAGTAAGTAACAATTCTGTGAGAAAATATTGATTTTAAGATACAGTATACATAGTTCAATTAAAAAAAAAAAAAAAGTAACAATTTATACAATCACAATTTAACGAGAACATGCAAAAATAAATAAACATAGACTACAGGCATACCATGAAATTTTTTAGACCATTTCTTCGACTTAAGGCGAGGTGGGGGGTTTCTTGGTATTAAAAATAGCGCTCTCATAGGATGAAGGTCACACAATGGAGGTTGTGACTCTGCCATCTCGAGAGCAGTGATTCCTGAAAGAGTAATATTGAAATAAAAAAATATGAAAATTTTTGGAAAAGATTCAGTTTACCTTTATAGAGAAGGAAGATGAGAGTGGGATCAAGAAAGAAACATAACTAGGTTACAACTCTTTTCATTCATGTCACAATATTTCAGCTTAAATTGTAAACTTTAATCAGGATTGACTTGCTTGTTTATGTTCTCTCATCAAGTCAACGTTGATGAAAAAGTTGAAATATTGGCATATATTGAAGCAAGTTCCTGACCGTAATTTAAACTATCTTTGCTTTATTTAAAATAAATAATTTATCATTAAATTAGTAGAGCAAATGCTAAAACCTAATAAGATATGACAGACATCATTCATCACAACTTCAAGCAATGACACAAATATTCTAATCACTTTAAGATTGAGTCTCAACAATCTTAAATACATTTTATAATTTATTAATTTCAAAAAGTCATTATTTAAAAATATTCATGGAAAAAAAAAAAATGATAATCACCTAAACTCCATAAGTCACTCCTGTTGTCATAGGTGGCATCAGGATTTTCATCACAAGCAATAACTTCCGGAGCCATCCAATAAGGTGTTCCAATGAAAGTATTCCTTCTCCCGATAGTGCGATCCAATTGAGCGCTCACACCGAAATCAACTACAATTTGATTATTAAAATTAGTTAATTATGCAGCTTGAGTTCGTTTAAATAAAAAGCTTCAAAATTTTAATAAAAATCCAATAAAATAAATCAATAAGTTGCAGAAATGCAAAAAATATAAGTTTCATTTATTATTTTAAAAAACAATAATTCAAAAATTTTGTTTTGTACCTAATAAATTCTGAAAAAAATTTGATCTATTCGAATTCACATTACATTACTTTCTTCAGAGAAAATTAAAGAGTTCATGTGATATGTTGTATTTTTTAGAAGCAAAGATGAAGTGGCAAAATAATGAACTAAAAATGACATTTTATAATAAAATATCAAAAGTCATATTATTAGAAAATAATTTATTTGATCTTGTGATAAAGAGGCATATATAATACTTTTGGGTAGAAAAAACATTATTTTTCTACATCATAAAAATTCTTGAATCAGAATATCAAATATAGATTAAAACCTTCATAGAGCCATAACTCTTCATTGTAATAACCATGAAATTCCTCGTTGAAGAACAATGAATTCAAATCAATTCACTGATGATATTACTGTTTATTGTTAAAAAAAAATTACACACAATAATGAAAAAAATAAATTACCTAATTTTACTTCGGCGTTATCAGTTAACAGTACGTTCTGTCCTTTGATATCCCTGTGAATAACCTTATTCGAGTGAAGATATGAAAGACCTCGGAGAATTTCACGACAAATATATGCTATCCATTCTTCCTTAAGAGATTGGCCTTTAGTAGATTTGACGAGGTCAGTAACGGATCCTGCCCCGCAATATTCCATAACAAGCCACAACTGATCATCTTTTCCTGGTGCACTTTTTTTAATAAATGCACCATAATAAGTTGCAATGTTTCTATGGTTAGAATACTGAAAAAAAGATGTATATTATTTAGCTAAAAATACATATGATAATGTGATAAAGAAAAAATTAAAAATTAAATAAAATTAAATTGTACAATTTAGTGATATAACAATATTTTAATAGTTAAAGAAGTAAAAAAATAAATAACTAAAACTTCTTGAAATCAAAAACTTTGAATAATAATTAACAAAAACATATTACTTTGATAAATCATATATTTTTTTTTTAATAAACAGAAAATACTAAAATATTAACTTTGAAATTTACCTTTTTTAGAACATTTATTTCAAGCTTAATCTCTTCCTCTTCATCCTAAAAACACCAGACAATACATTATTTTAAGTCTTCCATTAAAAATCAAATAATATCAATAAAGATACATTTATAGAACAAGTAAAATAAAAAAAAATCACTGAAAATGAATAAAAAGACTTACTTCTGTAACGTCCATAACTTTAATAGCAGCAAGTTGCCCAGTTTTGGTGTGGCGCCCCTGAAAAAAATGATGAATTAATAAAATAATTCGAATATCTTAACCAAATGAATATAATAAAATTAGAATAAATTAAAACGACCAATATTAAATTCAACTTGCCAATGCTTCAACTAAATTAAGACAAGCAATGCTGGGATTTTAAATTAAATATTTAAGAATAATTAAAAAAATAAAAATAATAATAATCCTGCAGCATTAAAAGCCCAAAAGGGGTCTTCAATAATATGGGTTAATAATTTTAAACAAAGCATTGTTTCTTGGTCAACAGTTGTGTAAGGAAGAGATCTGACCAAGATCACATTCAAACACCAGAGTTTTCCTCTAAACCAATTAATTAAGTAACGACTTTTTAGAAACTGGGTGTGTCTCAGGTAAATCTCTAGATCCCAAGGTTGGACCACAGCTGAGAGAACACAATGAATAATTAACAGTCACAACTGGACTCAAATTTGGACCTAAGAAATAAAAATACAGTGCCTTACAAGAAAAACTGTATCTTAACATACAATTAGGGTAGCATATAATTTGCTAAACCTATTAATAAAATAAAAAGTAATCAACCATAAAAAATAAAGTCATAAACTAACTATTAAGCCTTGATACAGCAGGCTCAAAACAATTTTTTATTTTTAAATTTTGAAGTAATGCTTAATTTTAGGGATTAAGAAAAATATATTTATGATTAAATTCATCATTCTTGCATAAAGTTTCAAACATAGTGTGCAGTAGTAACCTATCTTAAGGAGAGTAATAAAATGAGCAAAATTTGAGGTAATTATTTCATGTCAATCTTATGAGAAGTACACCAAATCAAACCCAAAGATTTTTTCTGTAATTTTTCTAAAAAAATATATGAATTAAAGCCAGGACTAACATCAGCTAACCGCTAATAAGCTTCTTTAAATTCTTTAAATAATTTCGATTCAGTGTTTTATAACAATTATTTAACAAAATTTTTATGAGCTAAAACAATATTTTTTAGCATTGACATGAATTTTAGGTTAACTAGCAATGTATGTATGAACTAGGACGCCTATTCAGAAGCCATCTTCTAACAAGGACTATTAAGCGAAGACTGTATTTAACTCTGATCAGTCTGGTCTTGGTGTATGATTCTGAGGAATTTGACTGTCTCGATGATGGATGAGCAATGGTTCCTGATGTTTGAGAGAAAAGTTTAACGCCTAATAGATGGTCCAGTAAATTAGGCAAAAATTGGAGACAAAGGAGTAACTAACCTAGAGCTCTATCCGCTGACTAAGGAACCAAACATAATGAGAATCATCCGTACAGGAAGGTTAAGATGGGCTCAACATGTTACCAGAATGACTGAACAGAATATTCCTAAAATAGAGATAGAAACTTAGGTGGAGAAGAGGACAGTTTTTGATACATGTAATAATTACAGCTTTTATCTTGGCATTAGTTAAAACTGAACTGAGAAATACCGCTAAAGTTTTCTTGTAACCTTTTAAGTAAAGGAACACAAAAATATTCAATGGAATCAACATTATTAACATAAGAACCAAAAGAAATAAGTGATGCAATTTCAATGACCGCGAATGTAGATAAACCAACAAAATTCTAAATAATTCTTCTTAAAACAAATTCATAGGATTTTATAAATCATTACTGAATATATTTCATTTTTCACACAAAATTTTAAATGAAATTACTGTGGTTTATGGTGGTAACAACCACTGAAAAAACATCTGAAGAGAGTAACGACCTAAATAAACTCCTGGGTGAAGAACAAGAAGGAGTAGAAGCTCCAGAGAAGAAAGAAATAATTGATATAATTATGTTGATGAAGAACCATAAGTTGAAAGGTATTATTACTAGAGATTACTCCAATTTCTCCAGAGATATTAAAATATGGTATCAGTGATCTGTGGGTGAAAATTTATGACCTAAATAGGGAGATATGATGAGCTGAAAAAATGCCTGAAAATAGAACAAGAGCAGCAATACCTCCAATACACAATTAACGAGACAAGCTAGTATGTGAAAATTATAGAGGCATTGCTCTATTAAGCTATAAAATATTGGCAGTACTCCAATTTAAAAGACTGACAGATTTCACTGAAAAAATCATAGGAGAATTTAGGCGTGGAAAATCAAAAATTGACCAGATATTGTCCCTGATACAGGCAATAGAAAAATGTTATGAATTTAACGTAGACATGCATCTTCTGTGGACGTTAACGTAGACATGCGGACTTCAAATAGGCGTAAGACAGTGTAGACAAAAAGGAACTTTTGATATCAATGATAGATGTTGGCATACCCAAGAAACTGGTTAGACTAAGAAAAATGACGCTAATGAAGACTAGCTGTGAAACTTGCAAATTCTCTTTCCGATGAATTAGAGGTGGATAATGGATTGAGACAGGATGATCCTCAATCCCTTATTTTTCATCTAGCTCTGGAAGTGGCTATTCATTCTATTCGAACAAATCCAGGAGAAACCATCTACAATTGTCTGTCTCAACAACAGGCATATGCTGATGATGTTGCCGTTACCTCTAAAACCTAAGCAGCATTATCAAAAATTTTCCAGGAATTCAAAGAAGCAGCGGCTAAACTGGGACTTAGAGTCAATGAAAATAAGACGGTGTACATGAAAAGTTCAAGAAGAGAAAAGAAAGTGAATAATAACTTTAAGGGATCGCAACTTTAGGTCTGTTGACCAGTTCAAATACATTGGAAGCATGGTCATATAAATTAACTAAATAGAGAGGGCAATGAAGGCCAAAATAGCAGCAGGAAATAAATGTTATTTCTCACTGCAAAGAGACTTGAAATTTAGATCACTCTAAAAGAATCAAAACCCTCATCTACAAAACCATAGTAAGACCAGTGGTTATATATGGGTGTGAGACCTGGACCTAAACTCAGAACGCATGCTCAACTCCTGGAAGAGAAAAGTATTGAGAAGAATATGGGGCAGAATTTCTGAGAATAGAATTCGGAGAAGAAAGAATGAAGGAGCTGTGGAAATTGCATGGAGAATCTGATATTGTGGCATTGAAATAAAGAGCCTGAATAAAATGGATAGGTCATGCGGAGAGAATGCCCGACCAAAGAATGTCAAAGAGGATGCTCTATGAAAAGCCAGGTGACAAAAGAAATAGAGGACATCCTCGGATGAGATCGCTGGAGGACGACCTGAGGCGGATGGGCGTTTGAAGATGGAGGAAAACAGCATAAGAACGTGGAAATTGGTTGGTAGTAGTGGAGGAGGCACAGATTCTTGCAGAACCGTAGCGCCATTATGATATTAATATGGTACTTAAACCAATCATGAAATGTCAAACACTTAAGAAATTTAGATACATATTAAGAAAAATCAGAAGAAAGAAAATGCAAACCAATTTTCATTAAAAAGACACCGATAAAAATAGTACATTAAAATACACAGTTATACAATTACTAATACTTATGACTCTAAAAAAAAATAAAATAAATGAAAAAGCAAATAAATTTAATAAGATCATATGTATCCTTTTCATACATTTCAACAGCACAGAACTATTCAATAATTAGAAAGGAGCTCTAACAAAGACTCATTTATACATTTTTTTCCTTTTACCTCCTACCAGGCCATTTTTGGTCAAACTGCTTATCTTACCAGTTTGGAATGAAACTCTGTGGTTGTGCATAATTGTTCCTGTACAAAACTCCTAGTATTCAATTTTTCAGTTAATTTACTATCATAAAATAATTGACAAACTTTTTTTATAACAATATCATTGAAGTAGAAAGAGAGGCAATATGTTATTATTTCTTAAAGTATAACAGCAGTAAGAGTGCCTGTGGAGTACAAGCTACGACGATTATATGAAATCGAACAAGCAGGAAAAAATTTACTCCTCAATTGCTCTCAAATTGGAATATTACTGGACAGTACCAGCCTTAAACATTTGGTGGCTCCAAAAAATTCAATTCATTTTTTGAACTTTTAGTAGTAATGTTTCTATTTTAGTTAATTCAATATATCTCAAATTTGGTAACTTTGTTAATAGGCTAAAATTATTCATTCATTACAGGACGGTGCCTCCCTCTAGCTCAGAAACCTGAGGCAATTGCCTCAGTTTCCGGACCTTAAGACTGTTTCTGGATTAACCTAGATAAAATAAATATGATTAGAACATGGTGTGGAGAAGTTAATATTAAGGTTCCTAAGATTTTTCTCTTTGAAAACCATGATTTCACCCACCAACATCTTTGAGGCAGACCACTTGTCGATTTACTCCCATTCAGTTTACTAACCAGTGAATGTGAAATTAAGAAACCGCCTGCACAAATAATCTTCCATTTTTCTTATAGAACAGAATTCACATATAAATAAAACGCTCCGATAGATACAGCACATAATATATTTTTTCATATTTTAGGCTAGTTTCTCACAAGGGGAAACATTAATCCTGCTGATGGTAGATTATTAACTTGCTATCAAAGCACACTTTAAAATGTTTATTTAAGCTTATTCTAAGACTCAAATAACAATATTACCTACATTCGATTTCGATATCCGAAATTTAACATTTATAACAAATGCATTATTAAACTGCATATAATATTAAAAATGATTTTTTATCCTCTAAATATATGAGCCATCGAGAACAGACTGAAGTCAGTTGGTAAATTTAATAATTGAGAATCAAATGACTGTTACAAAGATATAATATCACTTATACCAAATGATTTAAACTATATTAAGAATTATTAAATAATGAATAAGTTAACAAAAAAATAACAATAAATACTAAAATAATAAAAAATTAATGTGGCTATATACATTACTTGATAACATGAAGTTTTCTCAATTTACTAATAGTTCACTTTATAAGGGAAAATGCAACACTTAAATAAAGTAATATTAACTTATCTAATTAAAGGCAAAATTAATAGTAATAACATATACAGTTTACAGAAACGTAATAATTGGCATAGCAAAGTTTCTAACCATAAATCTGAGTAGTATAAACCTTCTCTTCAATAAATAAAGCTATAACAGTCAATATAATTAATTACAAAGGTAGTAATTATTGGTCAGAAATGAATATAAATGTTTGAAATGAAATAAATTAAGATTTTAGATTAATTTCATAACGTAATCTACTAATTAAAAGGTTTATATAATGAATTTAAATATAATTAAAATGCCTTGATTTAACTTTTAAATTGGGAGTAAAAAATCAAGGCTACATTTGCTCATAGGAGATCTTAAGTGCTATATATTAAAGAAACAGACCTAATCAAAATATAAATGGAGAATCAAATTTTTCACATCCATTCAATAAGTTAGTCTCAGTAACAAAAATCTTGTCCAGAACTGAATTATTATCAAGTTTAGAAAATGTGAAATAATTATAAGATAGATTTGATAACTAGTAATTAGAATTAGTAAAGGAATTAAAAAATAAATAATATTCATTTAAAATAAGATCTATGATTGTATAAACATTTTTGATTTATAAATAACAAATATTTTTGATAATACTTTATTCATAGCAGCAAAATCAAAAGAGTAATAATACAGGGTGTGTACCCAATGATCAGGTTATGATCAGCTTGGAATGAATATAAATTAAATATTAATGGTTATCTACATACAATTGTTACTGAACAATATATCTTTAAGAGCAAATAAAACTAATATTTTAAAACAATAATGTATTAATAAACGAGACATTAATAAAACAGACTACTGTACTTTGTAATTATTTAAAAACTTTATAGCTAGGATTTGTCATACAGATTGTTAAGTTTAATAACGCCCACTAAATGATGTTATTTATAAATTTAATAATAAACAAAAGAATAAAAAAATATTTGATTAACAGTTAAGTTAGATATCTATTAACAATGTCTGACAATTTGAAACAAAATAATATAATTGAATCATAACAATTAAGACTAATTGTAAACCATAGATATTTTACAGATTAATATTCTTCTGATAGTTAAATTTCCATTTAAGAAATTGTGTAAAAAAAAATAGTATTAAATTTAAAATATTGTAATGTGAATGTTATCAATATTTAAGAGTTTATTTTCAGACATGAGGCATTAACTCATTGATGCAGCAATTAATAACGAAAAATGAAAATCAGTGGGAATGACCTCAGAACCATGACAATGGATTGCTTCCTAAATGTAAACACTTAGTGAAGTTGCTATACATAAAATGAAATTCCAAATGTATAAGGGGCAGTATTGAAATTATTTCAGCATAATTATAATTATTGAATATTACTTTTTAAAATATATATTCATCAAAAGATAGTGAACTCAAACGAATAAATAAAGCTGCCAGATGAACAATAACACAATAGATAAAAGCAATTTTTGACATTTAATATTCAAATAAGTATAATAAAAAGTAAATAATGATTGATGATGGTTTCAAAACATTTTTGACATAGAAATACCAAGACAACTGATAATGATACCTCAAATATAAAGATACTAATATTAAAAGATAAATAATAAAGGCATCAAAACATTAGTCAGCCTAATATTCATATGGTTTTAAACTAAACAGGAAATTACAACAGTTCCACTATCATTCTGAGAATAGTGAGTACAAGGATAAAACTTCATTAGACTATTGATATATAAATATAAATTGAAACTTACTTTATAAACCTGACCGTAAGTTCCATTTCCAACAACTTCTATTAACTCGAAAATTCCAGCTGGTTCCTACAATAGAAAATTGGGTAATTCAGTACTTAAACACATTTATATACTATAGTAATACTTAGTTCAACTCATTAAGGAATCAATCAACAAAGAATAAGAATTTAAAATTGAGAGGTGTGTCAAATACACAGTAGAAACATTAAGTAATCAAATAGTTACAAGAAGATAGGCAATAACAGGAATAAAATTTGGTAGTTTACAAAAACTGTTGAATATCTTCACAGTTTACAAAATATGAAGTTTCACAATTTCTCTGGATTAATATAACAAGAAATAAATTTAAGGGCTTTAGTTCGAAAATCTATTTATGGCTATAATTAATTATTATTACTTAAAATTCAAACAGTTAACAGAACAAATAAATACATTAAACATAAACAACACATTGGGTGAAGTCGAAACAAAGGATCAATTAAGGGACAGGATCTAAAACCAAATTTATTCTATTTGACGGGAATCACTACCAATCATTAAATAATGTTAAAAAGGTACTCACTTTCAATGCATTTAAATCTATATCGTCTAATGAACAATTTACGGTCGGAGCTAAATTGTGCGCCATCTTGAAATTCTTTCGAACAATACTAAGTTATAACTTTATAATCCATTTAATAACGACACAAAACATAGATAGGGGTAACTATCCAACCCTTTAGACTTGTGCTATCTGCTTATCAAGCACATATTACGCTACAGTTTCAGCACATGACACTGTTTCGCCAAAGCCGTCCACACCTACTTATCAACTACTTTGAATGACGTCATGTGAAATTCACTGCTCGTTAAATTCTTCCATTTAAAAACATTTTTTTATATAAATAAAAAAATGTAACTGCTCTCTTCCAACAAAATTAGATAAACATACAATTTGCGAATAGATCTATTCCTTGAAGTAAATATGAAGTTAGTGTTAGTTATTTATCATGTAATAGAGTGATAAGTTCCGGATATTGCTATATTATTAGATGAGTAATTAACGTCAAACACAATTAAATAATTCATCATCGAAGTAAGACTGTGAAAACCATCTTAATATCATAAAATATGTAATATTACAAAATGAATTGCCTCAAGTTAATTCTGTACATTTTATTTTAATATCTAATCGAATGTGAATTCAAAATATGCAGGGAAAATATCATTGTTCATATTCTATAATAGTTCAGAGCATTCCTTTTCAGGAACACTGGAGAGGTCCAATCCCCCCCCTCCAAAAGCTGGAAAAAATTATCTTTATTTGAAAAAATAATGTTGGAATAAAGAGACATAAAAATAGTATCTATTTTATTCCTTAATTATTTGCAAACGTATTAAAATCTAATATTTACTCACGAATATGTATGTAATTCCCCTGTATAAAATGTGGGTACGCCCTTCCTGTTGTCTACTTATGAACTATCACTCTATAAATTATTAATATTTGAAACTAAAATTATAGTTTTCAATAAATATTTTGAAATTTTGACCCTTATTTTTTAAATTATAGTTCTATATAATTTTAATTCATTCATTTAGGCATGATTACGATTTATACAGTTAACTATTTTTATAGAAAATTGTTTACGTGTTTTTATGATCTGTTAACTACAATAATCATTCAATTTCATTCATATAGGAAAATATTTATCAATTTAGTAATTTTTTTAAACAGTATTTAACAATGTCCAAAGATACCACATGATAATTCTTCAGCAGATTAAAAATATAATTTCTCATTTATTTTAATAAAATTAAATTCCGTGGAAGTATTCTATAGATTTCTTCAATTCCTATTTGAAAAAAAAAATCTAAGTTTAGGAAACATGTTTGGTTTATTTCTTTACTTATTAAATTTTTAAAATAGAACCGTAAGTCAATCAATCTTCGGTGATCGATAGACAGATAGAAAACAAACTTTATTCTGGGACAAGGTCCCTTAAGAACAGGGGTACCCACAAGGGGGTTTCATAGCCCTAATTGCGCCATCAAAATTTTTGGGGGGGCATATTTCGACAAAGTTATGAATTCTCGGACTAAGGGAAAAGGTAAAAGACATGGAACTTACGACAGCAAGTGTAATTGTATATGATCTACGATTATTCTAATTCTACCTTAGCTGCTCAGTTTTTAAGAAATGTGAGCAATAAAATATCTTGGAAGGAGGGAGGGGGGGGGGTTGTTCTTGCGTCATCGACCTTTGGAGGGATGGGCACCCCTGCTTAAAAATTACAATTAATGAAAAAAACATATCTGGCCAAAAACTACGGTAATAAAGATACTATCATATTAGAATTGTTTATAATTTTGAACGCCATCTTGAAACATTATTTTAATTAACACTATCCACGCGAAAAATATTAATTTTTTAAAAATAATTTCTCAGCATGAAGTCAATAAAATGGTTCAGCTCACCGCTCAAAAGATTTTTTTTTTCTCTTTCAAATACCTCTTAAGTTACATCGATAACGGCTCACTAGTTCAGAAACAAGGGGGAACGACAGCGACAGAACATATTAATATTCTTTTTAGTATATTTTAAAAATCACATATTTAAATATACAGGATCTTAAATTATGAAAAAAAATCTGAATGGTGTATTTAATTAATTAGTGTGCAAATTCGTGTTATTGTTTTCTTATAATGATATAAAAAAATGACACAAATATAATTAATGGTTTTAATAACACAAACTATTCACGCACACAATAAATTCGCGTTTTCTAATGACAAAAATATTAATAAGAAATAAATGTTGTATTATGAATAACTATGACTGCATGATGTATAAATATTGTATTTCATATTAAAAGTCACTTCAGGTTTAAAACAGTCTACAGATAATTTATTTCTTAATAATGTGACATTTCATATCATCATCTTCAACATCAACCAATAAAGTTGGAATAATATGTGGAATTGTATAAAATTGCCTTATCAGTAGTTTTCGTAATCAAATCTTATAAAATCGATAAAAAAAAGCTATGATTCATGGTATATTTTCTCAAAAGATTAACAAACGTAGAATTATACATACATTTTAAATAAACAAGAAATATAAGATATAAGTACAATGCATTGATAATTTTCCTACAAAGTGATTCCAGTAATCAAACGTTATCTTCCAGCCACAACCAATATCACTGACTATCTTCTCGTACATATTTATATAAATATTTCGAAACACAAAAACTACAAATTAAAACAAAATAATAATTTCTGAATAATTGAGAATGTTTGGCCTGCAATTTTATTAGAGAATTTCAATTCTTAACGCTTCGAAATAGGGAAAATTTAATATTTTGTTATCAGCAGTTTTCTTAGAAAATTATCTTGTTCTTTAATTGTTTTTAATATACATATATATGAATAAGTACATTTGGTTATAATATAATATGTTTTTGTAAAAGTCATATCTTCCCAAAACGTAAATAGAATGGTATGTACTCATGCCTGACATTTCTTATATTCTTCTCTAATATTAGTCTGTTTAAGATTTTATTGTCTTACTTTAAACTTTGATTTTGTAAACAATTTACTCATATTTCAAACAAGTATCTAGAATCTTCAAGTAGACTTTTTTTATTTGAGAAACTAAAAATAGTGAATGGGTTTCTCCATAGGAACCTGTGTAAAATATTTTTAAAACAAAGGTACAACATTTATTACATCGCGTCTTTGCTAATAGTCTCAAAAAGGATTTGAACGATTTTGTATTTTTTTTTCTTTTGCATGGAATTTAATAATGTTTGAAACGATGACCTTAAACGAGAAAAAATCTTGAACGCAGGGGCTCTGAACCGTAAAGATGTGTTGAAAATTTGACCCGATTACCTAGTATCGATAAAAAAGTAAATAAATATTTTTAAAAAATTAAATATATTTATTCATATAAATAAATTCATTTAAAAATATATATTTGCATTTCCTTAATTAATAAAATATTGAGTGGTGCATGTATCGCAAAATGTCACTTAACATCTTACTTTAAGTAGAATTTAATTTTAACTAAATTAATAAAATTTACAAGTATTACTTTTACTATAAAGTATAAACTATAGTGTTTTTAAGTCAAATAATATTTTTTTTTTAAGATTATTCAATATATTATAATAAATAGAATATTAAATGTAAAAATACAATATGGTTCAACAACTCATTTCTGAGTCAAGAACCATTTTTCGGCAATTGTTACTATTAATGCCACTGCACAGCGGAACGAAATGCCAACTACATAAGAAAAATAAAATTTTACGTAAAAGGGTCAAAATCTTTTATTATTTATTTATTTCACTAATTAACGTCTCCATGAGAGAAAAAAACAAAAGAAGGTAAATAAATTGACTATCGGAGGAACAACATAAATTACTGATCGTGAAAATAGAAGTTTTAAATTTTCCGTAAAGTAGTTTTAATTTCTTTTATATGGATATGCAGTACAGGAATTGATATTGTAAATATCTAATGCTTCCATGCATACGACTTAAACAGATCCATAATTACGAATTACCAGAATTCAGAAGGACTGTGCTGAAATTCGTCATGTAGGTTTTTTTTCTAGGCAAAACAATACTATTAAAGTTCGGTAAATTGATATCGATTTTTAGCTTTTATTTTTAAACGCACTTTTACAGCCCCACCAAATAATGTTGAAGGGAGGAGGCTTTTGTACTGAAGCCCCCTCTCCCTCCCAAAAAATGGTAAAATGTCACCATGTTTCATGGTAAAAATATTAATATATTATCTCCTTAAATATTATTGTTCGTGTAATTACATTTAATAGGACTTCAAGAATCACTTTAACACCGTTTCATATAGGTAGGTATCTTTCTTTTTTTCCAAAGTAATTATCGTTATATATATATATATATATATATATATATATATATATATATATATATATATATAAATTCCATATATATATATATATATATATAAATTCCATATATATATATATATATATATATATATATAAATTCCATATATATATATATATATATATATATATATATATATATATATGGAAAAAACCCTTTTGAGCTAAAGTCCCCCTCCCCAAAATTAAATCCTGAATCAGCTAGTGTTAGTGGGTAAACATTTGAGTTGGTGTTAGAAAAAACGTTTTTGTGGGTCACAAATTTCGCTATTACATTCACCCTTTCGATAAATAAAATTCGAAAACTAATTATAAAAAACGAAACATGATAAATAAATTTAGTAGGTAAATTAATTTTGAAATTCTATTCAATTTTATCAGGTAGGCATTAATACAAAAAAAAAAAAAAAAATCAAATAGCTTTTGTTTTTACAAAAAACTAGTACCTTAGTGCTGAACAAGGGTGCAGGAAAGGGGATTGGGTCAAAAGGTTTGTGGAGGGCACATATTTATGGGGTTATGAACTATTGAAGATAACTATCAAACCAAGCAACTAAGGAAAAAGTTAAACGACAAATTTTCTTTCATTTGTATTGGTTTAACAAAAGAGACCAATAAATATTCTTGGGAGGATGGGGGTGAAGGAGGGAGGGAGAGTATCCACCACAGGTCTATCTAGAGCTTCAGCCCTAAAGTCCCTCCCCCAAAATTGTAAAATGTAACCATACTTTATGGTAAAAAATATTAAAAATTATCTCTTAAAGTATTATTGTCCGTGTAATTACATTTAATAGGACTTCAAGAATCAAATAACACCATTCCATATATGTAGCTAGTATCTTTTTTTTTTTAGATGGTATCCTTATATATATGAAAAAAGCCAGCTGAAGTCCCCCAAAATGAAATCCTGGATCTGCTAGTGGTATACATCACCCTTGGAAGGGGGAGGGGTATGAGCACCCCTAGTGCCAAAGATCTGTTGCATACACACACACACACATATATATATATATACACATACATATATATATATATATATATTAAACAATTTGATTGTCTTTCAACTGAATATCTATTATATATTCCAGAGCATATGTTAATGTCATCATCATCATCATATGTGGCACGACATCCCCTTACTGAGACTGGGTCTCCTCCAAGAGCCTCAGCCAGTTGGCTCTGTCTTCTGCTGCAGCTCTCCAGTTCCGTACACCAAGCAGGGTTCTCGCATAATAGGCCACGTTGTCCAACCATCTCGTCCTCGGCCTTCCTACCCGTCTTACGAGGTGCAGCTCCTCCATCATTATTTTCTTTGGTATTTCAACGGTGCTCATTCTGGCCACATGCCCTGCCCACCTTAGTCTGGCCAGTTTAATATACGTGACTACGTCGATGCCTGTATAAAGAGAACTGAGCTCCCTATTTTTTCTTTTCCTCCAGACATCACCCTCCTTTACTGGACCATAAATCCTTCTGAGGACTCCTCGCTCAAACACACTCAGCTTCATCTCATCGTTTTTAGTCATCGTCCAAGCTTCTGAGCCATATGTTATAGTCAAGTTATCATAAAAAAAAGATTTTTTGTTTTGAAGTCAGATTTAATATGATGATTTTCACTTTTTATTTCTAAAACATATCACAATCATCAATACTTCACTCCACTTTTAAGCCAATATTTTGGTCCATCTTCATAAACCTTTTTTTCATTAATTATCTAAACAATTTTATAAACATTGATCAACTCTATATACATCTTATTAAGCCAATTATAAACCATCATATACATCATTGTAACATATACAGAATAGAAGGTCTAAAACTATATCCATAATTAACACTATAATGGCTCAACATAACACTCAGACTTTTAGAAAATTGTCCATTTCATGGCAGTCTCTCAACCAATACTGATCTGATACAATGTTTTTTTTTGTATTAAATTCAATTAACATTAGACTGATAATAAGTCATTAGCATGCTCTGTGCATTGCCCAATAAAGTAGCCACTCAATTTTCTTTGTCTTTTTTTTTACATATAAATTTTGGATGTTATTCAGATGAAACTGCACTGCAATTTAAACTTTTTGGGTTATACTTTGAAGTTCAGATTGTTAACCAATGAGCCTCCTCTCAAATTACTTTACTTTACACCACAAAATAAGAGTGAATTAATGAAGAAAGTCGACAGTTCTACATATAATAGGCTATAGTCAGGATGCAGTTAGTTTTTAATACTTTAATTGCCAACATTTCAATCCAAGCATGGTGTCTATCATCAGGACATGATCTATACCACAAAAAATAGAGCTATCAGTGCACCTGACCCCTATTAATCTTTATAATTTTAAATTTCTCTATTAATCCCTTTGACTGCGGACGGGATACATGGATAGATGTCCGGTCACTAGAGCAGATGAGATATATACCTTCCCGGCTTCGCTGTTGCCACTTTAAGAGGTGGGGGCAAGTCATGTCTTCACTATTTTACTTGTGGCATGGCCAGTGCATTAATCAGTCCCTAGTAGCTGACTCAGTGCGGTCGTTCAGGATTCTGACCATTTCGAAGCTATCAGTAGCAGATTTATTCTGAACTCAATATAAACCCTTTCTCTGGTTTTTTTATTACATACGTGATCTTATTTATATTTTATTTAAATGTTTAATAAATCAAATAAATGTTAATTATATAAATCTTTAAATTTAATTTTGACTAAATACTGATTTCGATACACGAATCTCTGTCTACTAAAGAAATAAATGTTTTTTTTTTTTTAAACTTTTATTATGATATTTACAACTGTATTAGTATGAATACATCAAGTAAATTTGTAAAGAGAAATATTATTACATGAAACACGCTTGTTGAGAAACTACCCACTGGTAGCACTCTAATTAGAAATAAATGTAAAAATATAAATTATTAAAATGATACTTTGGTTGTTTTATCATTTCTCCATCCACCTAAAACAATGTATATGTTTCATATATCAAAGTGTTTGAAAGTCAAAATAAATTTAAGCACAATAATAAAATTTATAACTGCTATGGTTTCAATATGAAACTTTTTTAGGTAAGAAAAAAATTTGAGTATACGAATATACAAAGAAATATATAATTCTAATCCCGCAGTCATGTCCTATTTTTAGAAATACAATTTAATTATTATGACCACTTAGTTATTTTTCTTTTCAGAAATAAGCAACTATGCAAGATAGCTAAGTGTAATGGGATTGCCGCTCTAACTTTGTATTGAAGGTGTGGCCAGAAAGGCATATGTCCCATTTATTAAAAGTTATAATGCATATTTGAAAGCTTAATATCTTGCAGGGTGACTCAATATAGCATTTTAAACAAATTTATGCAAAAAAATCCATTTTTCTGAACATCTTTTGAAATTTGGAACCCACCATCTGGTAGAAACATTTGAAGGAGCTTCTGCCACCAAATGGTTAAAAAACAAATTATTTCAATAGTGTTCATCAGGTTTTATTATGTGTCCTAAGAAACTGGAACTCCTCTGTCTTTGAAATCATCTCACCACTATTTATTCTTATCTTTTGTCAAGAGTATAGCTACTATGTACATAAAAGTTTGAGTCTTTAGGACCAGCAAATTTAATCAAAACTGTTAATAGCAGTTAAGGTAATAGTGTTTCTATTAAATGCAAACATTTAATCCAATTTAGTACATAGGAAGATTTCAGAGCTAACCTTTGCAAAATAAGAAAAAGGTTTATCTATTGAAGAAATGATCATGGTAGCTGCACATGTGCCCACTGACATAGTAAAGGCCGGTCCACACGCTCCGTTTTGCACAACGTTTTGTCTGCGCAGTTCAAAACGTTGCGTGTGGACTGGAAAACAGTGCAGTTTTGAATCCATTTGGAAGACGGTACAGTCTTAGTAAAACTGAGCCAGACAGCTCAGATTTCCTTGAACTGCGCAGGCAAGTCGGCGCATGTGGACGGTAGCACCGTTTTGCTACTCATTTTCAATCCGTCGTGCGACAATGGCTGACCTTCGGCAATGTTCTAGGGAGTTTTTAACTGATTTTATTGCTCTGTATGAAAGTTTCCCGTGCATTTGGCGTGTAAAATCAAAAGAATACAGTGACAGGGATAAGAAGGCGGAGGCGTATGAAATTTTAGCTAATAAATTTAGAGAAATTGATGTAACGGCAAACCGGGAGACAAAAAATAAATTCATTGAGAAGCGTGTACCGAAAAGAATTGGCTAAAATAAATAAATCGATTCGATCTGGGGCTGGAGAAGACGAAATATACAAGCCATCTCTCTGGTATTTTGATTTGTTACATTTCCTGAATGATCAGGAGACACCAAGGCAGTCTAGGAATACCATGGAGGAAAATGAAGACTCGCAAATTGACGATCCGCCAATCATTAGGTTCATCACGTAATTTACGCAATAATTTGATATGGGAAAAGTGCTGCCTTTTAAGAAGCCACTTCCGCGACCACTTTGAACGCCGGGTACTTCTGAGATGTTCCAATCTTTTTTTTTTAACAATACACATCGCGAAAATCGACCAGAGTAGTACCTCCTCCATGGCGATCTCACAAAAAACTGAGCAAAATATACGGATATGTCTGTGCCGTGTGGACGCTCTACAAATTGCAACGTTTTCATTCCGTCTTAAGACTGCGCAGACAAAACGTTGTGCAAAACGGAGCGTGTGGACCGGCCTTAAGGGTTCTGTAAACATGAACCAATCTTCATGGAATGTATGTAATTTTTCATCAAAAAGGTTTACTCAGCCCAAGTCATTATACTCAATAGTAGGTAGACTATCTAGGAACCTGATATATCTCTTCTTTAGGATGGTAGCCAATCGATTAGAAAAGTGATTCCTATATAATTAATGTAAGTTCTTAAATTTTTATTTACACTTCTATGTATACCTCAAGGTCAGTTTAATAAAAATCAAAATGGACTCTAGATAGTTATTTATTGCACGTTTTGGGGAATCTGTGGCCCTCTTCAGCGGTCAAAAAAATATTCCAATATGTTTTAGGTTCAATTTAGAAATAAGTCATTACTAACTAAAATAAATTATATTAATGACCGGTTTCTAAATTAAAACTAAAATACATTGGTATTTTAGGATTGCTGAATAGGGTTGGTACACTAATTTCTCAAAATGTACAATAAATAATTATCATAAGTTAATTTGGATTTTTTTTATAAACATACCTTGAGGCACATATGTTTTGATCTGAATCTAAAGAAAATTATAGGCATTTAATAATCAATACATTTTTAAATTAATCCAAAACAATAATTGAAAAATCTTCAAAATATCAAGGTCAATCTATTGCTTAACTACTTGGTTAGGGTTCAAATATATATTTATTTGACTAATAGATATGTTATAGTAATTAAACCCACCCTCAGATGTTTAAACCTTGTATGCCAGTCCACTTTTATCATTTGAATTCAACCTTTTGCACTTACATGGGAAGGATCCTACATAGGTATCCTCACAACGCCACTTATTTATTATTATTGAAGCTTAGTATATGACTTAAGAATATTAACAAATGATTATATAGGGACCACAACAGGATTAAAATAACTAAAACATGAATAAAAAAGTCATAAAAGCTTTATTTATGACATTAACAATTTTTTTTTATAATCTACTTTCCTTTCTTGGCTTTGATTTTCCTCAAATAGAACTCAAGCTCTTTTCCCTCAAGGATGTAACCATCAGCTCGTCCACATTGCCCAGGCCGGCTGGCTAGGCAAGCTGAAACAATAATTTTCTTAATGTTAAACTGTTATATAAAAAATTGAAATAATAAAAAGTTACAAAGACATCAACATCATAGGAAAAAGGAATTATAGAAATGAATTACACTAAATTGAAAAAAAAAAGTGACAATATAGCTTCCTCGTAACTGTATCAAATAAACTAAGTAATTAATTACTTTAAATGTTTATTTAACACATATCAACAAATTTATTTTATTCTTTAAATCCATATCTGTAAATGAGTGATGGAAAAGAATTTGATAAAATCAAAACTAATATGATCGTATTTTCACCAATCTCTAATTTTCCTACAACTTATTGTCAAATTGAACCAACTGCTTTTGAAATACAGGTATAGCAACGAGAACATGTACATACATATATCTATTGAAAATAGCAGATAGAACTAGATGAAATTGATATTGGACCACCCACTAACTAGATACCAACCTACATATTTTCTAATTTTTTTCTTCTTCAATATTGGATGAACGGAAACAAGTGATAAACAAGTCGCTAGGATTTGATTACAAACGAACACAGCAACCAGGTTTAATTTTTTATGTTTCTAATATAACGAGTGCAAATTCTTGATTTTGAGTACAATTTTCATAACCGCTTGCACGAATACAAAGCTTTAAAACACATGGTAGCAACTAATTGTAAAAATTAAATAACTAAATTACTAATAGACAGATCAAACACCAATTAACTAAAAAAACTGATTTATAACAATTCCCACTTAAAAAATAAAATTATTTCGGATACAATTTAAATAAAAAGATAGGAATTTCACAACTTTCACTTACCAACCTTAGAGTACATAGATATTTTCATGTACAGAGAATTCAAAAATAAAAACTGCGGCATAACTTCATTTAAAACAATTATTATGTTTTTTCCACCCATTAAATCTAATAAATTTACATGTTTGCATCACTCCCTATTTCCTTTCACGACTTTGATTATTATCAAACAATACTATTAATTGTGGACTGTGAAAAAATGGATCTTTTGAAAAAAATGTTAGTAAATATTGAACAATATTAGATTTATAATAATAGATCCTCAACATTTCGCATGAAAACTTTTTAAAAAAAAGTATTCATAAGCGATATACAAAAGTAAAACTAACAAGATGTACAGAGGGATATCAGTTATCTGTAAAGGGAGAGGATCGGCGTTCATGGCTGTTTCCGTATAGCTATAATCTAACCTATATTTCTTTTATATTATAACGACGTTCCCAATAAATTTTTTACACTCATGATATTGAACTATTTTTTATATCAGTTGGTAACGTGCAATGGTTAATTATTATACATAAAAGAATTAAAGGCACGTTAGAGGAAGATATTTTGAAAATTAGGCACACTTAAATTCTGTTATTGAGAATAATACCTAATTATATTAAAAACCGCTTAATTTTCCACTGATATAATGAATTCAAACAAAATCATTTTCAAGAAAATAGTAAAAATGTATAAATTCAATAATATAAAATAGCACTTCTGGTTAGCCAATTATGATAAAAATGTGGCTTTAGCATACCAGGCATGTATAAATCTTAAATACGCAATGTTAAGTGTGTATGACTTTTTGATTTTGAGCTAATTTGTTTGTTCACATACACACACACCCACAGACAATTTTGCGGGACTTGGTTATTTGGACTCAGAAGGACCTCAAAACACGTATTTCTGTTGATAAGTCAGATTTGAAAATTTCCAAGATAACAATACTTACCATTACTATATATTTCAAATATGTTAGTCAAAGTGAAAATTGCCCCCCCCCTACTAAACTGACTGCTGATAATAAAAAGTTTAATGATATTTTTATGAAGCAAACTTTAAGCGTTCCTACTTTGATATAAAATAAGGATTTACCTCATGACAGGTAGCCATGAAGGTTGTTCAAAGCTTGTAAAGGATAGTCTATAGAAGTGGGACAAACAATAGTTTACCAAAATATTTGTTTATAAATTGTAGAAAAGTTTATAAATAAATCTTAGGTGAATATAATACTTAAAGATGTTTCATTATTGAAGATTTGTCAGTTAATATATCAATAGTAATATAAATTTAATGAAAGTTTATTATTGCAAGTGAACAGTATCAGAGCGCTGTGGGTAAGAGATTCAACAGATTACTTCAGACTGGTATTCTCATCATTAAAACTGTTCACTTAATTTTTTCTTTTTTTTAAATATTGCTAATAAAATAACAATGATTTGCATTAAAAAAATAAAATAAAAAGGATTCATACCAAGTAAACGACCAGTCTGGAATTGTTCTTCTAATGCAGGTTCGACTTTGGCCAGTTTCTGCCTCGCCTTATACCTGTTTTCCGTTTTCCTGGACCTCTTTTTGTATAGGACAGCCTCCTCAGCTTCAGACTAAATAAACAATAAATAAAAAAAAATATAAGACAACATTAATATATATAAACTTAAAAAAACAAAACAGGTAATTAAAAAGCATCTCAGAGCGCTGTGGAATATAAAATTTCATCATTAAGATTCGGAACAGCTTTATCATCATATGTGCTTTAATCAATTGTAAGTGAATTGCAGGAAACATAAAACTTAAGAAAAGGAATGATAAAAATCACATAAAGTTAAAAATAATTCACTGATTAAGCTAGCTTATGGATATGAAACTATAGATATTTTTAATAGAGACACAAACAATTATTTAATAGAGAATTTAGAATATTAAAGTTTAACCTTGAATGTATTTCTGCAAAATGTTACAGTAATAATATTTAAGGATACTTTAATAAGTACAACTTTCAATATGTTCTAATTATACTGAATCATTTTAAAAACTTAAAAATATAATCGAGGTCTAAAAAATAAACATTAGGGGTCATACACATAAAAACAAATTCCAATTGAATGGGGGATATAACAATAGTGACCAGCAGACATACAATGAAATTAATTTTTGAATATACAAAAATTATTTTTAAGTTATCTCGTCATAGATCTTCCCCGAACTAAAGAAAGTTTCCTTAAATGAATATTCAATTATTGAGTAAACTGTATTTTTTTACCATTAACATAGTAATTTTAATTACAAATAAACAAAAGCATCTCAGAGCGCTGTGGAAAAAAATATATCTTCATTTAAATTCAGAACAGCTGTATCATCATTAATGCCTTTAAAATAAATAAATCACTTACTGCACTAGGGTTCTTAAGTAACTTATTCCCTTTAAAAATTATGGACATTTACAACTTCTGCATCACACAGAAAAATTGGGCAAAATGTTTCAGGATAGTAACAGTTCTTAGCTTGCACGGATCAATGGTGCACAACATGCAATACTGTCACAAATTTTGGGATTTTTGGTGAGATCTATGAACAAAAAGTTGAGGTTTGCCAAACAATAAATAATCAAAATAAAAATTATTCAATTGGTCATCAGTTTCTATTATTCTTATCACTTATAGTTTACCAAAAATAACTTTTGGTAACCATCAAATGACACGCATGAAATAATATATCATCATATGACCAAAACATTACATTTGATATTAACCAACAAAGTGAAATAAAAATAAATATTGGAATTAATATGCTTTATAACAGCGAAATATTATTTAAAATAAACTAAACACTAAACATTTTTTTTTTGTTTCTAAGCCAAGTTAAAAAATACCAAATAATAATAATTATCAATTTTTAACCCAACAACAATTAAAAAGGGTCCCCCACCCATAAAAAAATATATTTAAAAAAAAAGTAATATTAAGTTAGTCATTGATAGCACATCATAAATAAAATTCTAAATTTTGTTGGAATGTATAGGAAAAAAAAGTTATTACTTTTTTATGTTTCATTATACTACTAACCAGTAATGTAAAATAAATATATCAGTTAGACAGGCTACAAAATGCCTCAAAATTTAATGTTATGAATGCAAAAGAGAACATATTTATTATACTAATTTAGATTATATTACTAATTATTAACATAAATAAATCTTAAAAACAAATAAATCGTATTGATTTAATTTCATTATGCACAAAAATTAACTATATGGAAAAATACAAATGTAATAAAATTGAATGTTAGTCTGAGGAAGCTCTCAGTGTAACTATGACAGAAATCACAGAAAGAAAAAGCAGCGTTAAAACAACACTAACTTAATGTTTTCAATTATCAAAAGAATCATCATCGAGCTCACTTCAAGACAACAAAGAGATTTGATAAATCATATATTAAATTAAAGAAGTGGTTAGTCGAGAAGCTTAACACACCATCAAAGTCAAAATTTAACAATGAATAAAAAAAAAAATTCACTTAACTTATTAAAAAAATTAATTAAGTAAATTATTTTTGGCATCACTGTTCAACCCATCAAACTACAAAATGACTAATTTTATAAAATTAATTGTGAATGAACTAATAACCCTTAAGATAAGACATAAAATTAGAATATTTTGATAATTTGTAACAAAATTCTAATTAATAGTGGAACATAAACCATAGTTAAAAGATTAATAATAAATAGACATACCAATTCATGACTATTTTCTAATATGAACTTTCCTATTGGGTAATCTCGTATCATTAAACCAATTCAGTGAAATCTAACTAAACCTAAACCAGTCGTTCTCACTAGGAGTTCGCGACTGGCTAGTGAAAATAAGATTTTAAACACCATTTAATTAAACCCCTCTTTTAGTTATTTTCGATCACAAATTGTGCAGTAACCTTCTTTGATAAATAAAATAAAATGTATGGCATTAAAATTGCTGACTGGATACTGAATCAATTTTTTCAATTTATTTTCTCTATTATTATATCATTTCCCCATTCTGCTTCCCCTAAAGTTGGCTGATCACAATATATTTTAGTAACTAATAAGGCAAAAAATAATATAACATGAACTCTCAGAGTAACTATGACAATACTCAAGGAACCAGAATAAGCAATGCTAAAACAGCATAACCTTGTTTATAGTTCTCGAAAATATATAATTTCATCATAGAGTTCATGCAAATAAAAGACATTCTCATCCAAATAGTTCCAAAAGAAAATTTTCCCACTTAAGCAATAAATTAAACTAATAAAATTTAATAGTTTTAACTAAGTAACCATATTTCTATGTATTAATTAATTCATTGAGTGTAACTGGTCCTCTCAGGACTTGTTTAACAATAAGACTTTTATTATCCTTACATAAGCATGTTTGAATTACCTTAAAACTCTGCTTGTTGAGTTAAAAAGCAAATTTTTAGAACAGAAATAAATAGATTCTTGGGAAAAAGGGCATCAAATGATTGAGAAGCTTGAACATAGCAGAAAGTAATTGACAATATAAAAAAAAAGTCTACAATATTCAGTTTGTTTTAATCTTAAAAGGGAAAAATAGCATACAATCAGTTATAAAAATAAAAACTTGGTTGGTATTTCAAACGATAAAAGGGACAATTATTGAATTTTTCAGTATAATATATTATATGATTGAGCATTTATTTTAGTTGAGTAGACGTTTAGACATTGTGTATTTATAAATCACTACAACACACAAACACAGGAATAATAATTGATCATTGATAATTTGATACATAAATTACCAATTGCATATTTCCACAGGAGGGGAAACAACTCATTTAAATAATATTAGAGACTAATTAATCAATAATTAAAAATTAGACAATTTAAATAATAAAACTATCGATACACACCAATTTGGCATTCTTCTTCCTTCCTAATGGGAGAGCGTAGTGGGCTTCATACCACTGCCTGAATGGAGTAGCATCAATCACAACTATGGCATTCTTCACAAGTGTTTTAGTACGTACAAGCTCATTGTTTGATGCATTATAGACTACATCAATCAGACGAGTTTTTCTGGTACAACCTAGAAAAAAAACAAAAACATAATGCATAAATGAATTGAGAATGATACTGCATACACATAAACATGTAACAAAAAATTGAAGATTTTTACTTACATTCAGAACCCCATGAAAAATTTCCATAGTCCAATCTCAAGGCCCTAAATTTAGTATTCCCTCCTCTAGTTCTTACCAAATGAACTCTTTTGGTGCCTAACTATAAAAAATAAAATAAAAGACTATGAGTTAAATCCAACAGGTTAGGAGTTTCATAACTTTTTAAAAATTTAAGAGCGATTTAAGAACTTAAATACTACAATTTCTGAAGGATAGGATTAAGATATATTTATATTGCTTAAAAATGGAAAAAGTCTGGCAGACAACTTTTGAATTATTCTTCATCAACAAACTAAGAGAAACATATATACCAAAACACAGAGCTAATTATTACAAATATTATAGAACTGTATTTTGTGTTAGTGCAGATTATAATAAAAACCCATAGAATGTATTGTGGATTTAATGCCATAAGTTACTTACTATAGTTCTATTTAAGCTAATTGTTTAATTATAAATAAGTTAATTTTGACTATGCAAAAACTCTTAAGTGCCTCAAAATAACACTGTTTTAAACATATACAATATGTACATAATATTTTGATTTAACAAAGAGAAAATTAATCAAATTACAATAGAAAACTAAATAGTTCAGTACCCTAATTTCTATTTACAAAATATTAGCACATGGTCTGCTTTAATAGAAAATATAATAATAATACAAGGCTTAGAGAACCCGGAGATTCAATGCCGACACCACCAATCGCTTATTACACACTTCTGTCCACCGTTTGCCGTCCAAACCCAGTCCCTTTAGATCTGCTTTAACGCAATCTTCTTCCATTTTCTTCGGTCTACCTCTCAGACATTTACTATTATGTACAGCAAAAATCAACCATTTGGAAATTCTTTTGTTACTTAGCCTAACAATTTTACAAGCCCATTTGATTTTACGCGATGTAATCACCTCAATTACGTTAACTGGATACAGTTCACGCAACTCAGCGTTGTGCAGCCTTCTGAACTCTCCGGTTAACTCATCTTTCCTTGGTCCGAATATTCTACGCAATACTTTACTTTCACAAACCTTAAGACGTTGCTCATCTCTTAATGTAAGCGGCCAAATTTCGCATCCATAAAGATCTAAAGGTAGGGTAATGGTTTTATAGATTCTAGTCTTTAAATTCCGGGATAAGATGCAAGCGCTAAATAGTTTTGTCACAGAAATATAACAAGCATTTCCCGCCTTCAGCTGAACCTAAATCTCCTATTCAATTTCATTATTGTAATAAATATAAGTTTTAAAAAATGGGATAAAAAACAAATAGAATAATAAATGTTTAAAAAAAAATTAAAAGTGAAAGGATTGCCTAAAAGCAGAAGACATGTACCTCAAACAAAGTAAACGTAACACAGAATTGCAAACCTATTGTACACTTGTAATTGTAAATAAAGAGACTTTTATGGTAATTTTTAAAATAAGATAAAACATCCATGCTAGGAGGAAATGTAATTACTATAGTATACTAATAAGCAGAAAAATAAACAGAACACAAAACAATGAGATACTCCTTTTAGGCTAGGAGGCCAGAGTTGCGAACTGGTAATAAAAATGTGTGTTTTTATAAATCCTAGAACATCAATAGTGAAGAAGAAATTAACTATTATCTAAATTATCAAAATCAATTACAAACAAACCAATATAGAAAATTACAATACCCCTTCATCACTAACAATATTCAGAATAATTGGACCACAGATATACCCATGAGCATAAGATTTATTAAAAAGCAAATATAATCTAAGAATTCCCAAATTAAAAAAAGACATTAATAAGGTTAAAATATAGAATAACCATTAAGGACATATGGGCCTAACATTACCTTTATATTATTGAAATATAAATAAACTTAGGAGTACTAAAACATGACTTAATGAACACAAAACAAATAAAAATTCATGATTTTATATTTGATATGGGGATCTGTTTGAGGTTATGCCAATGCTTTCTCCTCCTCAGCTATAATACCTTGGTCAAAGCTCAACCCATGAGGGTTCTTACACATTGTTTGTCTATAACATCAGATTTTAAAAACAAAAACTCTTAATGAAATGCAGAAATAGGACAAAGTTAGGATAAATAGTATTAAATTAAATGCTAAAACCAAAACTAACAAGTAATATATCAAAACACAATCTTCAGAACCTAGTAACAAAATTAAAATAAATAAAAAAAACTGCAGTAATATAGAAAACCTAACAATAGAGTACAAACAATGACTAACTCATCAAACTTTAGACTTAAGTACTACTATAAATGTAAAATTGAGAAATATTACCTTAGTGTTGGCTGCTGGTCTTCCTAACTCATACTTCCTCTTCTTTCTGATGGGTTTTCTCTTACCTCCAGTCTTCCTTCTTTTATGATAATGATCTCTTGAAATACCTAGAAGAAACCAACATCATTGCTTAATTCAGATTCCACCAATACCGTTTCTAAATATTGATTAAAACAACAAAAACCAAATAAATTCCGTATTAAACTATTTTCAACGGGTCCATATTAACATGTTCGGTATAACAGAATTGCATGTGTGGAGCACGGTCAATGACAAAAACATAACTTTTAGTTAATAGTTTTTGAACTAATTCGCAAAATCTATTGATGTTAAAAAATATATATTAAAAAAATTATCACGGCCATATAATACTGATGTTGAAAATATATAAAATTAAATGGATGGATACGGATTTAATACAACGATTCGAAACTTACCCATGCTGCTCTACGAAGGCAGGGCAAAAGATGGCTACTGGACGGGTTTGTTGCATACTGCCTTCTTTATTATATCGATGCCATTTCGAAGATCGATAATCTTTCTACATTGAAACTTGATTCTTGTAAATACTATATTAAAAAATCGAAGCATTAATTAGAAAAAGCTAAAATTTAGATTATTTCTAAAGTTAATTTTCAAAATAAGGAAATAATTCAGCATTCACCCTTCATCCATAGAGCAAATTACAGACTTCTCATGTATACTTCAGCTATTATGCAGTGGCGTACCTAGACCATTTGGGGGCCGGTGCCGATTTATTTTTGAGGCCCCCTTAAAAAAAAATCTCTTAGAATGGGATCTCCTTAGTATGTAGAGTCTGGAATTTATTTTTGAGAAGCCACAACAACCCAAAAAAATAGAAACCATTTATCTCAAATTAAAAAGGTATTTTTTTATCGTGTTTATTTATTTATATCTTAATTTGTACTGTCTCTGATAATCGGTTTAATAATTAGACAAATAAGTATAATTATATCAGACAACCCCGAAAACTCATCATGTAAATAAAACACATATGAAGTATTCTTCCTAATTTCATGCTAAGGATCGTTAACGGTTTTTTTCTTTATTGCATTAATATGGTTAATTAAATAAATTCAAAGGGAGGAAATTCCGGTACAAGCAAGTAAAGTATACTCGGCGGTCTCTGTTACTCCACAACTTGGGCATATGGGATCCATATTCTTACCAGATTCAGTAAACTTTCCTTAGAAATCCCGATGTCCCGTGTGGAACTGGGAGACCAAATATCATTTCTTTAGGGTAGCCCTCGAAACCAATCACCGGTTCCGTTTTTCCAGTTTATGCTCCAGAAGAATCTTCTCCCATATATTTGGGTCTTTACTAATCTTTACACGGAGATTCGCCAGTAGAACCATCAAGACTCCTCTCTTCATTTTCTGACGAAAATAGTCATCTAGAAGGAAGAGATCGAAAGGGATACTTCCGGCCTAGATCTGTATTGTCTCTTGAGGAACTACTTGGTAAGCTCCAATGACCCGCATCACAGGCAAGCGCTGGAGTGTCGCCAATATCTTCTTCTATTATGAGAAGTGTTGAGTTCAAGCAGGGGATGCATATTTCAGAATACCCATAATGACTTCTTTAGAAACAGTCAACGTGATTGGACATCCGGGACCCCAATGAAAATAAGACCAAAAGTCTATTGAGGCTAGGCGTAGTATGGTGGCCCATACTTCTCAAATAACCCAAATGAGGCATAAAATTGAACTTCCTTCCAATTCTTATGAGGAGGCAAGTGGCAACCTCTTGGACCTGACTTTCTCCTCATACATCATGAGCAATAGGATGGGCTCTGTCAGTCTGCCCCTCAGAAGAATAATTGAGTTCAGTAGCATCATCAGCTATGCCATCCTTAAGGTCATGCTGTAGGGGCTGGAATACTGAAGGCATAGTTTAGTCACACACCCCTCAGATCAGCCTGCTGCTAATTGCGGTTTTCAAGATGCAAAACATATCTTTCCAAGCTAAATTAATGGAAGCCTTTGTATCAACAAATTTTACTACAGCTATATCTGTATTAGAGTGCTACCAATGGGTAGTTTCTCAACATGTGTTTCATGTCATTATATCCATGTGCAAACTTACTAGATTTACTGGGTATTTTTTGTATACAGTAGTAAATATCATATAAATAAATAAAATATCTGTTAGTCCAGCAAGGCCTTCAGATGATTCTTGTGTTTCTTCGGGATTTTTTCTTCTATCACAGATTTAAGTTGCATCATAATATATGAGAATACATAGTTGTGGTAAGGATTCCCTAGTTACCTACTATACTTACCTATATGTATATGAACTATATAGTAAGGAAAAGTATTATGATTGTGAAAATATTTTTGTTTGAATTTCAATATAGATCATATTGTAAGAGAATTCACTCGCAGGCTGTTTTTGTGAGATTTATGGCCATCCGTCGCAATTTCTTTCCACTTCAGCCACTTACTTGTCACTATTTATTTGTTTTTATGAAGAACATTTATATACCTTGGGCAGAGACTTAGTAGTTCCTTTGCAGCTTCTCAAATCACTATTATGATTCCTTTGAAAATTGTGGTATGTCCGCCAATGGCCACATAACTTTAGAACAAGTTTCAGTTATAATACCCTCAGCCAGTTGCAAGGGGATCGATTGAAGCTGGGCAATAAGTGAAAACAGGGATTCAGAGAGGTATTTTTTATTTTTAAGCACTATGAACTTCAATAGGCTATCTGGTATCTGTGATACATTCAAGTTTCATAAAAAACCAACACAATACCATATATGGTTCTTAATTCTTCAACAGTTCCAAAAAAAGATACTAGGGTTATGGATACAGAATGTGTGATCTAATGAAAGCCTTTTTCATACTATCCAACCTCTCACTGGCATAACAATGGTTAAAGTCCTTAGTTTGCTTCCATTGCAACAATAGGTTGTGGATTAATTAATCTTGTGCTTTATTTATGAGTGAGTAATGCTTATTCTCATACAAAGTTACAGCTTTTCTATGGATAACCAGATATTTCCTTCTTTTCTGGGTCATTGAAGACATAAAAATACATCTTGGCTACGTCCTCTTTATATAATCTTTGACTTATTCATTTTTTATTATTCTTGCTTGCCTTTGGTATGATACACCATAGAAGCTACCTCTGTCATTACGCAGTTGTAACAAAATATTCATTCACCTCAGTCCAACATTATTTATTATTATTTTGGACCAAACACCAGAGTACTAGACAAATATAAAACAATTTTGTTTTGGGCATTGGAAGGAGAAGGTTTTACTAATTAGTTACAATACTATTTTAAAAATGCCAACCCTAAAATCGACATTTAAAATAAAATAAAAACAGATAGACTTTTAGCTGAGAAAGGAATTTTAGGATTACTTAAAGTTGATTGATAAGTTGTAACAATTAAAAAAGGTAAAAAAAATTAACTAGAGAAAAACATTGTTTAATTTTCAAACAATCAATAAAACAAAGTTAACAAATTAAAACTATGTAAGAAACTGTCAATAAATTCAATATGAAAATACTCGTGTATATATTAATTTTGTTAAATTATGTATTTTTAAAAGTTTGTAAAAAAAAATATATATATATTTATTTAATTTAAAACTAAACAATACTACTTAAAATATAATGTCGTAAGACAGAAAATGCACAGCCATTGATAATTTTCTCTCATTTCAAGCAAAGAACATTCAGCAAGTCGATACTTAACCAAATATTAGCATGCATTAATTACACATAGAATATAAATCAATAGTAACATTAATATGAGCAAATCTTCAAATACAATGGAACAAAATACAAATACTATCAGTTTTATGAGACAAAATAAAACATTTGTATTTTACATGATCCAAAATAACAAACAAACTTAATAAAATATAACTTACATAATAAACATAAATATCACATCAATTAAGTCCTTTAATTACATGAATCCATTAGTTGAATTTAACATTTAGAACACTTACCATTCATGAACATTGAAAAATTATTTAATTTACCTCATCTTTCAAGATTAGAATTATGAAAATTTTAAATATTCTCTAATAAATAGAATAATACACTACAATGATGAGATGAATTTTGACTACAACTATCTTTAAAAATAATAATTTATTATGCCAAATAATTGTATACTAACAATGTAAAATTAAATGCAAAATATATTTGTTTTGTAAATACTAATGTTATTTCGACAAATATAGCTCAAATCGTAATTTGACAAAAAATTCTTGAACTATTTACATTCTTAAAATAACAATTTTTTTTTTTTTTTTTAGATAATTGAAGGGAATATATTAAAACAAACATATAGATTGATCAATTAATAATTAAAATAAAAAAGTTGTGTTTCATATAATTGCTTCAGTTACGAATTAAAGAAAAGTAACTATTAAAGAGATTCACAATGGTAAATACATCATTATGTACTGCACAATATGGCAGTAATTTTCCAAAAAAAAAAAAAAAAAAATAGTTTATACCCTTCAATTATTTAAGAATTCAGTCTTTATAATTCAAGACCTTTTGTTTTTCTTGGCACTTCTTAACTGATAACCATGTTTTCTTTTTACTTGAGTTTTTTCTTTATTCCATTTATTGTGAAGCTTTAGGGCGATAGCTAGATCTTCTTGTTCTTGTTTTATTCTTTTTTGTATCAATTCTTGTTCTTTGATTATTGAAAATGGAAGTTCTTCGGTGATATTTGAATTTAAATCTGAGGATGTATTATGATTATCATTTTGATTGCTGCTAGTTCCTTCGTCTTTCATCTCTACGTCTTCTACTACAGCTGGTTTGGTTCTTAAAAAATTGTTAGACATTATTTTCAATGAAGTCTTATTTTGAACGCTTCCGAAACCAGATTCTGGAGGATCATTGAAGGATGAGGTTAAATTGATAGGTTTTATAATAGTCATATCTCTGAGTTTACCATCTGCAAAGAAAACATAAATAAATAAATAATCAAAGAAAAAAAAAAATTAAAAACGAAACAAGCTTATTTTGTATAATAAAACCACACATTTAAAAGTGTTCAGTAAATAGTTAATTTAAATTGATTTGGACATATATTTACTTGGTATATGATAAAGGCATGTATAATCCAAATTAAAAACGAGAACCAGCTAGTATTTTAAAAAGTTAACAATCAGATTAAGAGCTAAAATATGGTGAGCTAAATGTATTTAATAGAAGTAATTAGTACACAAAATCTATGTCCAATGAAATTAATAACATATCTATAGAAGAAAAGGAATAACTTTTTAAATCTTAGTTGTTTGTTCGACATTTAAAACTGCCGTTCTTAATGTGATGATTTTACTCTGTATTATCTATTTATTTTTAGAATATAAAATTTCTTACTTGGCAATTGCTTTGGAGGTGTCTTAGGTGCTATAAATATTGGTGTGAAATGTCGAAGTTCGTCTGATATAGAATCTCTCCCAGTTGATCCAGAGGAAGTAGATGGTGAAGAAGACGGACTATCATCTAATAAAAAAATTGAATTAAAAAAAATAAAGGCAGATTATTAAATTTTAAACTCATTAAATAAAACAGGTATGGTAAATAAAATTACTCTCACAATTTAACACATGAGAATTCATTACGTTATTTACGACAAAGATGTTATGAAGTAAATAAACAATCATTCATTCCAGCTAATGTCAAGAATTGTTTAATTTATGTCTTTCTTTTTCTTTATGGTAGATTATAAATTAGTTCTTGTAATAAATGAAGTCTATCAATAATAATTATAATCGTCTATAAACAATCCTACTTTAAATATCAGAATCTTAATATATAATAAAATGTACAAAGTGAATTCACTGCTCCACCTGATTTTTGGTCAAGTACAGAAACATTTCATAATCAAAGATAAAAAAAAAAGAAGAAAATCTTTTTATAAACATCTCCCAAAATCTACATGAACAATGAGCCCCCCCCCCCTGTGGTGTGGTATTACAATCTAACACATGTGATTATTTTTATTATTCTTTTATGGGTCTCTTAATCACGTACTGATGTATTGAAGGTTATATTGTACGGATGTGTATGGTAGAAATAAAAGAGACATCTTCCCATTTCATTACACAATTTTTATCTCTGAGAAGAAATATAACCAAACACCTTAGCAGAGTTACTGCTAGTGAAATCCAGGAATGAAAAAACAAAGAGATGATCTAGGCACTGTCCCACTACAGGATTCTATAGAAAAGAGACAGCTGAGATGGTTTGGGCATGTATGCCGAATGAATGAAGAATGTGACCCACGAAAATTCAGGGAGGCTAGACCTGTAGGAAAACGCCCAAGAGTATATATATACCTAGATTGCCATGGATGGGGTACATCTCCCAGATCGGGCAGAAAAGAGGTATGCAGATAGGGGATATGAGGGCTCTAGCTCAGGACCGAAATGCTTGGGATTCCTGGATCGAGGCACCTCCACGCTCAAAGGCACAAAGGAGGTAGAGAAAGAAGAAGAGATATGCTTCTTTTTATGAAATATGCAATTTTCTATAAGTATCATTTCTGTTTTTATGTTTAATTTCCTATTGTATGTACTTATTTCTCTTTCGTTTTCAACAATCTTAACAGAGGAAGAAAATTAGTATTTTTAACAATTGATGTATAACCTTACCATTTTTTTTTAAGCAGTCCACTTTGATTTCAAAGTTTTGGAATGTTTGTTCCAATATATAAAATTATTTTCAATGGATTGTCAAAAGAGAAAATGATCTTATATTAATTATTCATACAATATTATAACAATTTTAGTTTTAAAATATTATTGGGGCCTAATGGGATACAATGGTCAATCAGCTACATCAATTACCTACAATTTATTTTTTCAGGATGGGTTATTACAACCTATCTACAAAATCTTTGGCTTGTTACATTTTAATGCCTCCTGGATTAGAAGTGACGGAGATGACTTGAACATCCTTTACAAATGGAGAATGGCTGAACCGAGACCCATGATTTGGAAAAGGTGGGATGACATTAGCATCGTGCCACCTTCTTTACTTTAATCTACATTAGAAATATATAGTAAGGGAAAGTATTATGGTCAAGAAAATCTTGGAATTCCTTGTTTTCAACGGAAATAAACATTTTTAAATCATCTGAGTCAAAACAACCAAGTCTTGTAAAATGGTCTGTGTGGATGTGAACAGTCTATCTCAAAAATGAAAAGTCGTATGAAACTGAAATTGCACATTTAAGGTTTGTATATGGCAGGGATTTGTTTAAGCCAAAATCAGCTAACGCTTTATACCTTCGATTTCACATATTTCTACAATTTCCTCAAAAATTGCTCTAACAATTTTGATTAAATTTATTATATCAGTGTAGAAGTAAGCGGTTTTTAATATAATTGTTGACTTAATTAAAAGTTAAAATAGAAAAAAACATTATATAAAGTTGGTAATTGAATATTATTTATTTAAGATTTTTTTTTTTAAATGTACAAGGTAAATTTTTTTTTTTTCTTATTTTATAGAAATTAAAGTATAGCCACCAACAAATAACTTCTGCACTGCAAAAAAAAAATATAATCTTATTTTGTCTCGATAAATTTGACGAGTAAAAAATGTGCAATTAATAATTTTGAAAATGGCCAAAAAGGCTATATAAAAAAGAAAAAATTATATGCATATAATAATGTACTAAATACAAATAAAGGATTGCGAGAAGAAATAAGGGTATTATTAATAACATAATCAACTATAGATTAAATATAATAATTATATAATGTAGGTCTTATTCTCATTGATGTTCCCTGATAGGTCTTAAATGGCTAATTTTCAATCTTTTTTCCTCAAAAGTACCTTTATTTTTTAAAATATAAAATAATCATTTCACATTGCAACTTGATATAAGAATTGGTTAAATAAAAAATATAAAAGAATAAGAAAGCATATCACAACCTTAATAAATTACAGGGTCTGATAATATTATAACATATACGTGTGCGGTTTTCATAACTGCTAGTGTTTTATTATTTAATCGTATGGATTAAATCTATATAAAAATTAAAATTGGTATATAAACCAATGACCTCGCGCGGGCTCATTACCGCGTATGGGGAGCGTCCCACGGGTGGCGGATGTGGGGATGGTCGGTGGAAATTTCTTGGAAGTTCCTCCCGGCTAAGTCCGATGGACTCGCTGACCAACAATGAGAGGGGCCCTCCAGACTTGCTGGAGGGAGGGGACCTCCAGACTTGCTGGAGGTAGGGGCCCACCAGACTTGCTGGAGGGTGTGACGTAGGATTGAACGCCCTACTCACATATCTTTAGTTCACCAAACACCACAAAAAGTCATGGATCTTCCTAAGGTAAAACGCTCATTATCCGGAAGTAAACTAGTCCCCCGTTCGGGTCTCCGGGTGGGGACTGCTTTAGGGGATTCATGGCGCAAGTTGAAATATAGGGATTTAAATATTGGTACGTGGAACGTAAGGAGTTTAAACACAGCAGGGGGGCTAAAATCGGTCGCGAATGAGGTAAATGGGTACAATTTGGATGTCGTGGCTCTGCAAGAGGTTCGCTGGCCAGGGGAGGGCTCGATGAGGGAAGGGAAGTACACTATTTGGTACGGAGGAAGCGAGAATCATTGTTTAGGTACCGGGTTTCTAATTAGGCGTAGATTACTATCCGCTTTGAGGGACGTACAATTCTTTAGTGATAGAATTTCGGTAGCTACATTTCAGGGACGTTGGTTTAAAATCGCATTAATAAACATACATTGTCCGACCGAAGACAGTGACGATGAAGTCAAAAGTGAATTTTACGATAAACTCGAATGGGTTTATGATAAACTACCACGAAACTACATGAAAATAATTGTAGGTGACGCGAACGCAAAGGTAGGAAGGGAAGAAGTTTATATTCCGACGATTGGTAAAGAAAGTTTGCACGAATATAGTAATGATAATGGGATCCGTCTGATAAACTTTGCCATCTCGAAAAACCTGATAATTAAAAGTACGACGTTTAAACATAAGGATATTCATAAATATACTTGGACATCACCGGATTCGCGAACACGAAATCAAATCGATCATGTCTTGATACAACATAGCTGGCAAAGCAGTATAATTAATGTACGGTCTTATCGCGGAGCAGAATGTGGGTCGGATCATGAATTAGTAATCGCGAAACTTCGACAAAAACTTAATATAAAAAAGAGAAAAGAAAACCGTTTCGATTTTGAGAATTTTAATTTGGAAAAATTAAAAAATCCATCAATTAGAAACCAATTCGAGCTAGATGTTAAGAATAGGTTTGAAGCTTTAAAGCTTCCTGACGAGGACCACGAGGATATTGACAAGTTATGGATAGAGATCAGGGATAATATTAAAGCGGTCGGTAACTCGTGTCTAGGAAAAAAGGAAAGTAAGAATAACAAACCGTGGTTTGATGAAGATTGCTTAAACATGTGTGAAAAAAGAAAAGCCGCTAAATTAAAAGCTCTAAATAATCCTAGCAAAGACAATCTGGAATACTTCCGAATCTCAAAGAACGAAACGACAAAATTGCTCAAAAATAAAAAAAGGGAGTATCTTAAAAATAAAATAATTGAAATAGAAACTAATAGAATCGAAAATAACGTAAGAGACATGTACAAAGGTATAAACAGATCACGTAAATATGTAGGGCCCGTAACGTCTGGAATTAGGGATGATAATAACAATATTTTGACCGATCCGGTTGACATATTGAATAAGTTTAAGGACCACTTTGACAATATTTTAAATACGGGAAATTATGATCTGTGTCATCCTTCTGAGTACCAGAGTGCTGAACCGTTAATAGAAGGACCAAGTAAAGAGGAAGTTGAAGTAGCTATCGGAAAATTAAAATCATATAAAGCAGCGGCAATCGATAATATTCCTACTGAACTAATTAAGGCATGCGGGGAAGCTGGAGTTTCTAAAATACATCGGTTGGTTAAAAAGATCTGGGTGAACGAGAAATTACCTGAAGAATGGAAAGAATCTATTCTTATTCCGATTCACAAAAAGGGTCCGAGGACGGATTGTAATAACTATCGAGGAATTTCACTCCTTCCGGTATGTTATAAAATATTCACTTCAATCTTAACCAGTCGAATCACGGAATACGCCGAGGAAATTATCGGAGACTACCAATGCGGATTTAGACGGAATCGTTCGACAATTGATCAAATATTTTCTTTACGGCAAATATTAGAGAAAAAATTGGAGTATAACGGTATTGTTCACCAGCTGTATATAGATTTTAAAAAGGCTTACGATTCTATTGACCGCCAGAAACTGTATAATATTCTAATCGAGCAGGGGATTCCAAAAAAAACTAGTAAATCTAGTCAGGATGTGCTTGATGGAGACACTCAATAAAGTTAGAATCGGTAATAATTTGTCCGAAAAATTTGAGGTTCGTTCGGGCTTAAAACAGGGGGATTCTCTTTCGCCTGTCCTGTTCAATTTGGCATTAAAACATGCCATTAGGGAGGTAATGCGAACCGAGAAAGGGTTGGATCTGGGCGGGACAACATCCGTGCTGGGCTATGCTGATGATCTGGTACTGTTAAGCGAAGACGTTGAAACTATAAAACTAAATACGACAACGTTAATGAAAGCCGGTAATGAACTAGGACTCGAAATAAACGTGGATAAAACAAAATATATGGTTAGCTGCAAAAATGGCGATACTACTGGTGATATCGATATAGATGGTAATATGTTTGAACAGGTAGATAAATTTAGGTATCTAGGTTCTACGATAACTAGAAAAAACGAAATTGAAGAAGAGATTAAGGTTAGACTGAAGGCGGGGAATGCTTGTTATTTTTCTGTGACAAAACTACTTAGTTCGCGCCTCTTGTCCCGAAACTTAAAAATTAGAATCTATAAAATAATTATCTTGCCTACAGTTCTTTATGGATGCGAAACTTGGCCGCTTACATTAAGGGATGAGCAGCGTCTTAAGGTTTTTGAAAATAAAGTATTGCGTAGAATATTCGGACCGAAGAAGGATGAGTTAACCGGAGAGTTCAGACGGTTACACAACGCCGAATTGCGTGAGCTGTATCCGGGTAATATAATTGAGGTAATTTCATCGCGGCGAATCAAATGGGCTTGTAAAGTTGTTGGGCTTAGTAACGAGAGAATTCCTAAAAGGTTAATATTTGCTGTGCCGAATGGTAAGCGTCCGAGGGGTAGACCGAAGCGAAGATGGGAGGATTCATTAAAGCCGATCTGAAGGGACTGGGTTTGGACGGCGAACGGTGGAGGGAGGTGTGTAACAAGCGATTGCTGGTGTCGGCATCGAACCTTCGGGTTCGCTAAGCCTTATTATTATTATTATATAAACCAATGAATGTTTAAACAAATAAAAATATCTACAATGAAATATAAATAAATAGTGGCCTTCATTATCAATCTTGTTGGACTCACAATATTTTGTGGAGGTTAATTATTTCTCTCTTCTCTTCTCTTAATCCTTTCCTCTTCTACCGTTGAGCGGTGTGAGAAGCCTTCTTGTAGAGCCGAATCTACATCTCTCGATCCTGAGCCAACTGCCACCTCCTCCTCCAGTCTATATCCCTTCTGTCAAAGGCCTCCTTGACACTGTTTTCCCAGATCTTCCCTGAGGTCTTCTTCCCTCCACTCTACTTTCCAACGCTATCCTGGCCATTCGATTCTCTGGCATTCGAGAGACATGACCAAACCATCTCATACGATTTTCCTCCATCACAGTTTCGGCTGATCTTACGTTCAGATTTTTACATATTATGGAGTTTCTTATGCGATCTCTCTTTGTTTTTCCTTCGACCCTGCGCAAGAATCGCATCTCCATGGTCTGAATCTGGCTGATGTGCTTTGTGGTGAGGGTCCATGACTCACTGGAGTAGGTCATTATCGGGAGGAAAGTATTTTTGTATACTGTCATTTTGGTAGTAGAATCCCTTCTTGATGGCGTTGAAGCACCTTCCTGCAGCTTTCACTCTTTCCTTTATTTCTCCGTCGATCCATCCATGCTCATTGATGTGGGCACCGAGGTATTTAAAAGTTGTCACTTGTTCCAATGTAACTCCATTCATGTGCACTATTCTGTCTCCTCTTCCTTGTTTCCTGCCAATCCTCATAGTTTTGGCTTTTTCCACATTTATTTGCATGTTTATCTTATTTAATTCATCCTGAAGAATGCGGAGGTTGAATTGCAGGTTTCGTCCATTGCTTCCGAAAACCACCAGATCGTCTGCATAAGCGAACAGAGAGAAAAATACAGGCTGTAGATTTCTGTATCCCACTTGATATGATCTCATTTGTTTTGCTATTTTTATTGAATTATCTAGTAATAATGTAAATAGCAGAGGACTTAGACTGCACCCTTGCCTAATATCTTGATTAGTTGTGAACTCTTCCGATATATTATTGCATGTTCTCACAACATTTCTTTGGGTCTTGTAGAGACTTAGAATTGAGTTACGAAGGCCCGTTTCGATGCCTTTATCTTCTAAGGCTTTTGCTTTGTCTTGCTTCTTCACTCGGTCAAATGCCTTAGTGAGGTCTACAAAACAGGCATATATTTCTTTGTCCCTTTCTATTAATTTTTCAGACATTTGTTTTAAAGTAAATATGATATCCTGGGTACTTCTATTTGGCCTAAATCCATATTGCTCTTCACTCAGGGAGGATTCCACTGTTCTTCGTAGGCGTTTCTCTAAAATCTTTGAGTATATTTTACTGATTCCACTGTTCTTCGTAGACGTTTCTCTAAAATCTTTGAGTATATTTTACTCGGGACACTAAGAAGAGATATCCCCCGGTGGTTTTTACATTCTCTGTTATCCCCTTTCTTAAATATTGGGACTATAACAGATACTTCCCAATCCTTTGGAATATTCTGTTTTCCACACAAGGTTTAGAATGTGCTGGAATACTTCTATCCCCTTTTTTATTTATTGTAATAATATTATTATTATTGTAATAATCAAATAAATAATTAAAATATACAGTCATAAATAAAAATGAGAAAAATCCTCCGTAGGATAACCAGAGCAATCTGGGATCAGATTACAAACATGAAGAAATACCGATAAAGAACTGCTTACAGAAACTGGTCAATCCATATCTCATGATATGAAGGCATGGAGGTTAAGATGGGTGGGGCACGTAGCTCACAGCAATCCATCTGGAAGCCTCTACGTAACAATGAATGCCTCAACAGAAGGCAAAAGACCAGGTGGAAGGCCAAATAGCAGATGGATAGATAGAATCAACAAAGATGCAGGCTTTTTTGTTCATTTTTGGCTTAAAGACTTGTAAAAGCAAGTCCTAATTGGATGGAACAGGCTTGTTAAGGCGGCAAAAGGTCTATATGGTCTTTAATGCCAAAAAAAAATTGGCAGTAGACTAATTCATCTATTTTTTACTAGAAACTACTGGGTCGATTATTTTTAGATTTGGAACTGGGGGATTGAAATTCAACATTGCCATATGCAATTCTGTTTTAAAAGAATTTTGTTTTAGAATTCATGGCCATTTAAGAAGATAGATGTGGTATATGAAAGCCATTATTCCAAAGCCTAAAATAATAACAAATCACAGTGTAATAGTTTATAGCATATTTAAAATATTTATTTTTTCCCAGTTATCATTTTGGAGGTTCTTCCAACAAGTATTAATACTAAGAACAATATGCACTACATATTAGACATTAATGACCTTAAAATAAGAATAATATATCTTACAAGCTATTATTTAATTACTATTATATGACTGAAGTAATATAAATCCAGAACACCTTAGTTAGAGATCAGTCAGGGGGAATAAACATTACACTTCATTTGGTTCTTTCATTAGGTCTTTTGTACTTGTATTTTTCTTTTTCTAGACCTTGAGCCTTACCTCCCTCAACTTACAACATCGTCAGGTTTAAGAATAAGTCCACTAAGTCATTATTTACAATAATGAAGCTCGAAATGAAGAAATAAACTATTAAAGCATCTTAAGTTTAGTACACATTGTCGCACGATTTGTCTACAGACTGTCTCGAGACACGGTCTATAGACAATGTTCTTTGTCTTGTCCAGCATCCATGCTATGATGTGAATTTGTCTGTCTCATGTTTATAGCCTACCTTGTCCTAATTACAAGTGAAAGAACGCAAAAACGTAAACGCTGGTGGATGCGTGCAGAAGGACCTATGTTAGGTTATGCTTTATTAAATAAATTAAGACTGGGAGACTTATTAATTAATCTTGAATTAGTTTTAAAAGAATCTCGTCAGAGTACAAGTTTTCAAAACAACTGTATAACTAGGGAGAATAACTGTAAACAGCTGAACTAACCACTCGGTAGATGAAGGCAGACTTTTTTTGGGGGTCCTCCCTTTGCTTTCCTTTAAGGTTTTACGATGTGTTGCGGGGTAGGGATTAATGGCAGAGTTAAAAGACTCCCCCGGCACCGGGAAACGAACTCATGACTGTTTTTATTCAGTTATCTTATATATCAACTAGCCAGACAACGGCAGTCCATTCAGCCGCCTCCAGCAGAAGGCAGACTGGGACGTGTCATTGCCTCTAGACGCCGAGTGACAGCCACACTGTCAAAACGTTGTGCAACATGTCAAACTTTCCATAATTTCTCCAATTCCAATCGGGAGACTTCAGACCTACAACTTTTGGTCTCGCAACAGGCCTGTAAATGGGGATCAGTCTACGTAGATAAACTGAAACATGTCTCAGAGACAAAAATTGTGCAACATGCCTACTAGTGTGGACTAGGCTTTAACAAAATACATAACTTCATGTTCTATTAAACCTCATCTATGCCCAATAAACATAATTAAGTTAAATTATTATTTTTAAAATGAAGACTAGAGATTTTCAATACTTACTCCACTGGATTATACCGTTTTCGGACAGATCATTTCTTTGGTTCTGTAAAGGCAAGAAAAAAAATTAAATGTATTGATTACAAAATAAATAAACCAATTTGTACCAATTTATATGGCATTACATTTTCAGTTAAAATCATGGATTTTATATACAGAACATCAGCCTTTTCGATTTCTTCAGTTTTTCTTTTTCTTTGCTTTTCTTGTTCTAACTCTTCTTCCTGTAATTCAAAAAAAGTTTGAGGAACCCAAAATATTAAGAGTTCATCAACATGAATAGCATGATAATAAAACATACCATAATTCTTTTAGCCAATTCCTCACTAGCTTGTTGTTCTGCTAGTCGTGTTCTTTCTTCTTCAATTTTTAATTTGTGGAACATTTCATCAAATTCTTCCTTAATGGAACCTTTTTTAGCCAATACCGTCGATACTGGCTGGTCCAAAAGTACTCCTAAAAGTTGTTAATAAACCAGGATTAGCTTAAGACTTTTGAAATGTGATTTTGGAACATGAGATGACAAAAATAAATTGAGAAATTAAAAAAGATACAAATATATATTTTTCCAAGTTATACATCTATAGAAAGGCACATACAAAATATGCACAAACAAATTTTAACAATGCAGTTTATTTCCAGAAATCTAATAGTAAAGTATATAAAAATAAACATCAGTAACCGAAAGAAGAAAACCTGAAGCCATGCAATATAACCTTGATAGTAGATTAAAAAAATTGCTATGATCTAGAAGGATAATGTTTTAATAATTTCTCTTTAAAACTTTTTGTAAAAATAAACGATCTGCTTTAAGAATAGTATTTTACATTATAAAACACTAATAAATAAATCTTTAATATTTTGTTAAAAAAAAAAAAAAATTACATAGCTTGATATATTTGATTAAACATGATCCCCAAAACACTTCGGTAGTTTATGGACAAATTTCATTTGTATATCAGTAACCCAAACTCTCCAATAAACCAAATAATAAAAATTAAAAACCCATGAAAATGACATGAAGTTGGAAATTTTTATTCAGGAAAGGAAAAAAAAAATAAAGACACACACCTGCCTTATATGAACTTCACAAACTTCTCTTGCTGTATTTTCCAAGTATTAATATGTATAAAAGATATTATTTTCTCATAAAAATATAATGACAGTAATGCATGAAGATGCAGTACCTCTTCATCATTATTTAAGCATTTCAATCACACTATTTGATGGGCAACAAAGAACAATATACCATGGCAACAAATCCTTCTAAAACATCTATGAGAAGAAGCACTGAGGAAGGTCCTCTAAAGGTCAAAACAAACAAAAATAATGTTTTTTTAATTTTTTTTTAATATACAAATTCAATGTTTAAAAGTAAACACTAATATATCCACCTAATACAGTCATACGTATTTATTGAGTTTTAATATTTTACTGCATAATATGTTCTCAACACGACTTTGACATAATGGCCAGGGGAGGAATTTCTTGCCCACGAAGAAGCTGCAAAAAAAGTTGGATTAAGAGTAAAAAACAAAGTATATGCAGGTTGGAGGGCTTGGAAACCACGAGTACTTTGAGGTAGGACTGTACAGATTCCAGGTGGTCAATAACTTCGTCTACTTGGGAAACAAGATAAACCCTCAAAACGATATCTTCCAGGAAATTAAGCATAGGATAATAACCGCTAACAGGTGCTACTACAGCTTATCCAAAAACTTCAGGAGCCGGTATCTTCAAAGAAAGACAAAAATTAGCATAAACAACACCCAAGTCTGTCCAGTAATAATTCATTTATAGGAGGCATGGGCCATTAAGAAGGTGGATGAAAAACAGCTCTTGGTGTTTGAAAGAGGGATAGGCGAGATCTTCAAAGTCATAAAACTGGAAAGACTTCGACGGGCTAGCCATCTAGTCAGAATGGACAATGGCAAGATTCTTAAGAAAGTGGCCACAGAAGAGATCTTAGAGACGAGGAGAGTGGGACGACCGAATGTAAGGTGGATAGATGGTGTGACTGAAGATGCTTGGACTATTCTAGACATACGGGACTGGAGGACTGCTGCACAGGATAGGGGCAACTGGCGAAGGCAGCCCAGACTCGGAGATAAGTTGTTGCGCTGTTGTGTATGTAATATGTTCTCAACATGGGAATGTCAAAACAATAAAATATCAAAAGTAGCTTAAAATCCATTTTTATTAACTATAGTTAATGGTAAAAATTGATTTTGGTTTGTCTTTAACTCCACAGGGGAACATTCATATCAAACAACCTTTTTATTCAACCAGACACTTCATGATTCTCGACATGCCTAAAGAGTTAGAAAAAATTGTTAAGTAGTTAAGGAGAAATAAGAAACAAAGACAAAGGCAAGGGATTTCTCTTTATTACTTTTCTGAATTAAGGGAATCCTAACCTAAAACATTTAAGTTAAGAAAACAAAAGCTTATTTTTTTTTTTTTATCTCCATAGTTTTTCTCTAGGTAACTGAAAAGTAGAACCATTCATGACTGTGAAACCTGGGTCATTAATAATAGAGAAAATATATTATCTGAGATTATTTGAAAGTGACTAAACTCCTGCAAAACCTAAACCTCAAATTAAAAAAAACATAACATTGGTTGATAGTATATTCCTCGAGAGAACCCAATTGTCAACCTCTGGTAGTTAACACTAAGCTACTGACCTACAGTCTGATTGATGTGATCATAACCCATTTGTCAATCAGATGTCAGTTGTGAAATATAAACAGAATATCCTTTTAATAAGGGAAGAAAAAATGAAGTGACATAGACCTGCTACAACAATATTACCTAAAAGATGGCGAAAGAACACTGAAGGTAATCATGGAAGTAAAAAATGAAGATTAACAATAAAATGGAAAGATATGTTAGAAGAAAACTTGGTGGGAGATGCCTTCAGGAGAGATCCATTAAAAAAAGTCTATAAAAAAAAGTAGACAAAAATAAGTTAGTGTTATGTTCATATTATTATACGTAGGATACCATTAATTTGGTGCTCAACTCACAAGTGGTACCACTGGTTTTAATGATGATTGCGAAAAGTACTGAAAAAAATAAATTAACTTCCTACTGACAACACCAGCTCTTTCCTTGTTATTTTTATAGGAAATTGGTTTTTAAGCTCCTCATTAACAGTCTAAATTGCTAAGAAATTAAATGTTTAGGTAATCGAATTAACTTACTGCATTTTGTGCAACATAACATACTAACTAAAACATTATATTTATATTACCATTTAAAAACACTATAAAGAGACATGCTTACTTGGCAAGGATATTGACTCAATAATACATTCCCGACAATTGGGATATAAGACATCCTTAAATTTATGTTTACTATGGTTCTGGTCAAAAATTCTATCTGACATCATTTGTTTTGAATTCAAGTATATAAAATTGAACTCTTTCTATGATTCGATTTTGGTGAAATTATTTAAAGTTAAAGTTGAAATGAAAAAGGGAGACAAAAAATATCTCATTGAAATTTTAATAAAACTGATAGTTGAAACAGAAATTTCTGTACAATTTTAATAACTAACTACTGTACAAAGAATTATTGGTAAGAGAGAATAAAGTTAATGATAACGAAAACAAACAAAAAACTATCAATAGTTCTAATGGTGATTAAAAAAGCATTATGAAACAAAGAAATATACTTACTCCTGGCAAGACCATCTTCCTCTCCATTTAGTTTTCTTTTTATTTCAACGGGGAACTGTTTTTTAAGCTTCTGCCAAAAGTTCTGATCAACGGTCTTTTTCAAATTCTTGGCTAATCGAATAAACGTACCGATTCTTGTGCGGCATATCGGACAAACTAAACTGTTATTTTCAACAATCTTTTCTAAACATTGTAAACAGACAACATGCTTACACGGCAAGGACACCGGCTCGATATAAATTTCCTGACAAATAGGACATAAGACATCCTCAAACTTAAGTTTACCGTGGATCGGTTTACAAACTACAGCCGACATCCTCATATCAGCTGAGAATGGCGGGTAATCGTGATTACATTGTGTGCACTGCACACATGATCTCGAATTTAAAAGTCAATTCCGTTCGAAAATCGATAAATAAAAAATCCTAAACATTGTTGTCTTTATGGCAATATTTAAAATTTAAATTATGAATAATTAACAAGTATTAATTATTTAAAGCAAAACAGAGAGTAATACATTTGGGTTTATTTGATTTCTTGTATGAATTAAATAAATCCAAGCCAACGGCGCTAAAGTAAAATCACTAGTAGTTGACAGTGTACCAGTGCTTTAAATCAGGAAAATTCCTTGAAGTTGATTTAGTATTCCAGGAACAACTATAGAAGTAAGGATACTAAGATACTATTTTTCTTATCCTCTTTTAATTACTTGGCAGTATTGTCAAATTTCTGTTTTATTGCTTCTTAGGGTATTTATAGATTATGTTTTATCTGTTTTGACCTTTTTTTTCAAAGGAATTGAAAAATTTAATATATGTTAGCTACTGAAACCTGAAATAGGCCCTTTCTCCAATAGCCTTGTCCAGCTACTGGGTACGACTTCTTTAAAAACATCATCTCTTCAATTTAACTATTTCATTTCGTTATATAGGCTTACCACTGAACACTATCTGTAATATAGATTATATATTCAAATAGCTGATAGGGGTGTAAAATACTTAAACAAGACATTTCAGTTATTGGAACATTTAATTTCTGCTTTGTGTTTCTCCCAATTTATTTTCTATAGCTTCAATATAAAAAAAAATTAACATTATGCTGAGGATGACATTCAAAAAGCCCCTGATAATGTTCACAGGGGATTGCTAATACCGGCTGCCTCACTTAAAAATGAATCCCGCGTATAACTGTCCTATAAAGTCAGAGGAAAATACACAATTCAGCGTTAAATGGAACCATCTGGTATTTTGTCTAACGAAGAAGAAAATTTATCAGTTATGTGGATTAAATACGTGGGAAAACATCTGCTAAAAATTTTAGATCGGGAAAATCTCTTCAAACATTTAGCCCTGGTCATAAATGGTTTAATTTTTTCATTAAACGGAACCCGGGACTATCCTTCAGGATACCTGAAAACCTTACTTCATCTCGAGCTATTGTGATTCTGGAAAATTTGAAGTTAAGGTAATCAAATGTCCAATCGCATCTTGAAAAAAAAAATCTTTTATATATCCTTGACGATGCACGTCGTGTGTTTAATGCCGATAAAAGTGCATTTTTCTTAATCTTAAGGGATAAAAAGTTTTAGCTGAAAGGCACTAGCGGATCCAGGATTTAATTTTGGGGGAGGGCTTCAGCCCGAATGCTTTTTTTTTCATAAAAATAACGATAATTACTTAGGAAAAACAGAAATAAACTAACTACCTATATGAAATGGTGTATAAGTGATTCCTTAAGTCCTTTTAAATGTAATTAAACGAACAATAATACTTTAAGAGGTATTTTTAAATTTTTTTTCCCATAAAACATGGTTACATTTTACCATTTTGGGGAGGGGGGGGCTTCAGCCCGAAAGCTCCCCCCCGTAGATCCGCCCGTGATGAAAGGGGAAATAAGAATTTACCAAAGAGCGAAATAGTTTTTTGATTTATCACTTCCTCCTGACAGAATTCGCTAGTGTTGGTCACGATAATAATTTTTTTATATTATATTATATTATGAAATTCGTGAATGAGAAGGAATTTCCTCTATATTATGAAATTTGTGAATGAGACGGAATTTTCTCTATATTTGTCTTTCTTTAAATAGGTGTTTTTTGTCACTTTTTTCGGATTTTTTTTCACCATCTAAGGGAGGGCGCGTCCCCTGGCAGAATTCGCTAATGCTGGTCACGATAATAATATTTTTTATTATTTTACATTAGGAAATTCATCGTCTATGAGGATAAGCAATGATGGATCTAGGATTGTCTTTTTTTAAAAGAACGATGATTAGAAACAGAAAAAAGAAAATGCCTACAATAAATGATGTTTAAGTGGTCCTTATGAAAAAAAAAAAAAACATTGCATGAACATTAATACCGTTAAAGATAAATTTCTTATATTTTTTTCTTGATACTTGCTTACATTTAAGCTGTATTTTTTTTTTTCTGTTGTCGTTACAGACCCTGTAGATCTTTTGCCGCCTTAACAAGTGTGCTTCCATTTTTCATTTGTTTGCATCTTTGTTGATTCTATCTATCCATCTGCATTTTAGTCTTCCACGTGATCTTTTGCCTTCTGTTGAGGCATTTATTGTTATGAAGAGGCTTCCAGATGGATTGCTACGAGCTACATGCCCCGCCCACCTTATCCTCCGTGCCTTCATATTACGGGATATTGATTGACTAGTCTCTGTAACAGTTCTTTATTGGTCTTTCTTCTCCATGGGTTAGAACTCTGATCCCAGATCGCTCCAGTTAGCGTGGGGAGAATTTTTCTCTCAAAATTTTCAACAATTTTTTCAAGGGTGCTGGTTATTGTCCAGATCTCACAGCCACAGAACTGGCTTTATCACAGCATTGTACACCCTTAGTTTGAGATTTATCGGGATTTCAATACCTTTCAATAGAGGAGAAGAAAGCTCTGTTTGCGCTAGTTATACGCTGGTCTATTTCTGCCCGTTGGTCATTTATTTAGGTTATTGTGGAGCTGAGGTATTTGACTTTTTCTAGCCCCGAGAATGATTTTCCTTCTACGCAGATCCTGTTATTGGGATGGAATTTTCGACTTATTATCATATATTTTGTTTTGTCTTCATTTATTTTTAGGCCGATCTGCTCTGTCTCTCTTATCATTGTTGTAGAGAGTTTCTCAATGTCTCCTTGATTACTTCCAAGGACAATGATTCATTCCGACGTGGACTCCTTCCCTGTGATGTTGCTCTTATTACCTTCTCCAGGGCTAAGTTGAACAATATCGGTGATAGTCTATCTCTCTACCGTAAGCCCATTCGAACGTCGATGGCTTCAGTTACTTATCCTTATATTAGGACTCCACATTTGGGGCCATTTGTACACGTCTTTGTCAAGTTCACCAATTTACCGGAAATTCCCAACTGTCATGATTTTCCAAAGACAGTTCCTGTCCACCTAATCATAAGCTACTTTGAAATGGACAAATAGGGCGTGAACGTATGTGTATATGCATTACAATTTAAAAAGAGAATATATTGTAAATGTTTATGTATTTTGTTTAGAACAAAAAAATATACATATGTATATGGATCATTGAAAAAAATCTTTTATTTGGTGATAGAGGGAGGGGAGAAGGGGGGGGGCGTAGGAGAGAAGAGGAAACTTTAGCCGGAATATCCTCATATCCTAACTAGTGTTGCCCAAATTCGGTCTTGGTCTTGCACTTTGCAAGACCAAGACCAAGGCCGCGTAACTGTTGCAAGACCAAGACCACGACTGGTAAAAAAAATCGATTTAAAAAAAACAAATTGATTCAAAATAGTTACTAATACGTGACAATCTTAGTTACTATATGTTAACAATTGGTATAACCAATATACTTTTGCATTTAACTCCTCTAATTTTTCATTCGGGCTTAGTTAAATTTCTCCTATCTAAAAAATTACAGTAATATCTCGATGTAATAGGCTAATAAGTAACTGCAAGACATTTGCGAGACTCTTGCGCAAGACCAAGACCATGGCCAAGACTGAGTTTGCAAGACCAAGACTCGTCTCGGTCTAGCATTTGGGCAACACTAATCCTAACATGTGACTCATGTAATGTTAATTCAAACATGGGCAATTTTTCTTATTATTTATTAGGCATATAATGTTTTTTTTAAATTATTTTTGTCCTGCAATTATAATATAAGATCAACATGCTCCTGTACATTAGCGGATCTTCTTGAAGGGGGGGGGGGCTTCAGCTCGAAAGATTTTTTTCCATATACATATAACGATAATTAATTTGAAAAAAAAATAATTACCTATATGAAATGGTGTTTAAGTGGCTCTCGAACTCCTATGAAATGTAATTACACGAACAAGAATATTTTAAGAGACAGTTTTTAATATTTTTTTCTGTAAACCATGATTATATTTTACCATTCTTAGGGGAGGGTCTTCAGCCCGAAAGCTATATGGAATTGAATGCTCCTAATAAGAATTTGTAGTAAGGCGTTTATCTATTAATTATGACTGAAAAAAAATGAGGCAAACATTAACTAAAACAAAATTTATTATCTATAAAAAAATTCACAAAAGCATAATTAGGCATTATTAAGGCACTTGGAATGCACACATTTTCTATTTATAATATATACAAATCATAATTATCAAATAGCTTAGATACAAGATAGTGGCAGACAAACATTAAAAATAATTATAAGTATTTGCATTATTTAATATCGTGTCTGGGGCGTTCAATCATATTAATTTAAATATAGTAAAATATACTGTTTCTAGTATAAATTATGGACTCTATCGATTTTTGCGGAGGAATACAATATTGTATTGCTAACCAAATTTATAATTAATAAACTGCTGTAATACCAATATAATTTTATGGAACTGTCAAGTTTAGTACAATAAACATTTTTTTGTTAAATGAATGCACAATATCTGTTTTCAAAGTTTACAAATTTAAATTTATCTAATTAAAGAATCAATATTCCTACAATATACATACGAAAATACAAAAGCATAATGGATATATTATATAATACATATTTACATAAATTCACTCTAGACATAACAACTATAATTAAGAAATAACTAATACATTTCGACAGGTTTATCGTTACATTTATCGAACATTTTCATTTCGATGGGTAACCAATAAGCACATATATATTTGTTATAATCGATATATCATGCACCAATCGAACCAGAGATACAGAACTCTGTTCAGTTAAAGCTCTTCTACACTTATTAATAAATATAGCATTAAAAAATTACTTTTTTAAAATCGATACAATGTTTATGATTGGCTATCGAATTCATATTTACTAATATACTAAAAATAAACACACTTATTACTAATAGACAATTCGGTATGTTTAATAATTCATAACTTTTTAAAGGTTCCTTTTCTAATGAATATAAGTCATTAAAAAATTGTTTTATCCCTAATCGGCTCATCGGTTGTTTTTATCCCCTCAAGAAATTTTATTGCTCATCTCTTCTTAAAATAGTGCAAGCAAAAATAGAATTAGAAAAATTGAAGATGATATATTATTACATCTGCTGTTATCTATTTCATGTTTCACCATATTCACACAAAAATATGGTTTCCTCCGAAAATTCATCAATCCGATCTAGCGTGCTACCTCATAAGTTTCGATGACTTTGACTTTGATAACTTTTAGTGCAGAAATATTGACTAATAAAATACTTTAAAAAAAATTATATGTTTCGTGGAAAGGGGAGAATCTCTCTAGCTCCCGTCCTGCCTGTAAAGCCGTTATTAACTTATTTAAAATATAGAATTAAGTTATTTTTCACTTTACATTAATTCCAAGAAGTCTCCTGGAATAATAAGCTACGACAGAAATAAACTTGCAGTTAAAAATTAACATGAAATGAACATAGCATTGTGTTATAAATTAATTGTTGAAGTTTATTGGCGGAAGGGGCGCGTAGTCCCTGCTCTCATCCCTCGACTCCTCTTTGACGGAGACGTAGTAGTAGCTGTTGGTTTTGTCGTCTTCCTGCTGGAGTTCCGGGACGTACTCCATTATGTGACCTTTGCTGGGGTCGGTGAGGTCGGGTATGGTCGAGTAGTCGTTCCTCTGCTCCTCTTCTATGTGCGGGAACTCCTGGTTTCTCAGGCAGCCGTACATGAAGTCGGTTTGCGAATAAACGGAGGAGTAGACCGGTGACGACGGCGGAGGATACGTGGTAGGTACCGAATAGGGGTCGTGGTACTGCGGGTACGGCGGCCAGGGTTCCGCGGGACCTGGGTTCGTTCCTTGCATTCCTGGACCAGCTCCGCCGAAGGCCGTCAGTCCGCTGAAGCCACCGCTTCCCAATGAACTGCTTGTACCTCCTGGAAAAAAAATTAATCCCGTCATTCATATTTCAAATTTAATCACTCAATATACTGCTCAAAAATTACTATATTTTGGGAGAAGGCGGGGAGAAAAAAAAAATTCTGCTATATTTACAGAATTTTTTTTGTATTTATAGCGATCGTAGGCGCCGAAGAGTCTACCAAGAACAAGGGGATGGGTTTGATTATACTGCCACAGTTGTGGATGGGTGGAACGTGTAGCTCGGAGGAATCCATCAGAAATGCCTCTACATAACAATGAGTGTCTCAATAATTGACAAGACCAAGTCGACAAAATACAAAGCAGAAATTGCTGGGTAGGGAAAAATAACATAAGATAAAACATTACAACAAGTAAACAACATTTTTTTATGAATTTACATTCATTTGCATTGTTTTTAAGAAGAGGAGAGGAATAAAGTATTTTGGTTGGAGGAATGCGTCATCGCCTTCAGGGAGAGAGATGGGCACCGCTGGGTCTTTGAATAATGTTGATAAACTTTAATTATTAATATAATAAATGCTTAATAAATTGCTTTTACGAACCTGCAGAAGGTAAATATCCGGTTTTCCTTGGAGGTTCCCTTTTCCTCCACTTGGCTCTCCTGTTCTGGAACCAAACCTGCACCCTGGATTCCGAAAGGTTTAGCTTAAGTGCTAGTTCCTCTCTCGCGAATACGTCAGGGTACGGTGCTCTTTCGAAGGCTCCTTCAAGTTCTTCTAGTTGGTAAGATGTGAATGTTGTCCTGCAATCGAAAACGAATATGAGAATCTCTAGAAATGATAGGTAAACCCATTTAAAATTTCAATTCTGTATGTAAGGAGTAAAAAAATACTTCGAGTTGTGTATAAATACTTAAAAGACTGATTAAGAGACTTCCTTCATTTAGATATTTATGAGAATAGAATGGACTTGAAAGACTTTCAGATTTACTTCCCAAAGTCTATATATTTCAGCAAGGCCGAAACCATATTTTTTTTACAGGAGGGGCAATCCTTTCTTTCACCTTCTGCCATCCCTCAATAAAAATCAACATTTTACAACAATATCTTGGATACAACAGCGTGGAGGGGGACAATCAGGAATTAAAAAAAAAATTATAACGTACGAAAATAATTAATTTTAGCCTATTAATAATGAAACTAAATTACATATTTAATGAAATACAATGCAAATCATGACTAATATAAAATAACAACATATATTTGTCCGGTAATTTTTTACGTTGCCATTTACATCCCTTTCTGTTTTGTAAAAAAAATACAATTTGTTTAGACTTAAAAGAACAAGAAACAATTATTTTCTGCTCTCGTTATTTAGCTACGCACATCTGCTGATTGTTAATAAATGTAATTAACAGGCATGAATTGTAAAATAAAATAAAATATTTTCTTTAGTATATAAATGAGGAATGCTTATTATTGTTTGCGAGATGACGAAGTTTCGATAATATAATAATAATGATAATAGAAAATAACTTTATTCTGAGACAAAGTCCCTTTAGAATAACCAAATTGAACGAACATAATTAAAAGGCTACATCTGGCCAAAATAGAACAATAATAAAAAAAGAGAAAGTCAAGAAAATATTAGTTAAAAAAGCTATATACAAAAAAAAAATCCATATACAAAACACTTAAAACTATATACAGTTGAAAAAATTATAATTATACACTTTTGAAAAATAAAACAATAAAAATACATTGAGTTCTTCTTTAAAATGAGGTGTGTTTCTGCTAACAAAGGGAAGACAAAAGCTGACAATATAAAATGTCAGGGTATTTAAAAAATGAATAATATGTAGACACATCATTGTCTAATTCTAGCTATAGGTACAGATTTAATTATATAAGAATAAAAAACAAACAATAGATGCATTCAGTGGCATTAAGAGCAGGAAAATATTGTAATATCCCTAGTGAAGTTTACAGTATAGAATAGTACTATCGTTTGTTGATGAATAGTATAATATGAAAAGTTTAGCAAGCATCTGACTGTTTTTGGGATAGGAATTGGAATAGGAGAGTTTGAATGTGGATATGGAGGGGGAATGCCGAATTTTGATAGGTAAGGAATTTCAGAAATTGACAGCGAGAGCTATAAAGGAGTTTTGAAATGAGGCAGATCTATCAGAAGGGATGTAGAGGTCAGAAGGTCGAGATCTTGTTGAAAGGGAATGGACTGAGGACTTGAATTGGAGGAGGTTGTAGGCGTAAGAAGGACGATGATTGTTGATGATTATGTAGAGGAACGCACCTAGGAAATATTGTCTTCGAAACGAGGGGAAGAGCCATCTTCTCAGTGTAGTGGCGAGAGACAGGGGAATATGGGAAGTATATGTTAAGAAATAAATTTGATTTTATTTTAATAAATTTAAGTCATTATTTTTTTTTTTACAGATCGTTTAACATTATTTTTAACATAATCCCATACACTACTTTTCTTTTTCTTTCAGAGTTATTATAAAAAAAAAAAAAAAAAAAAAAATGCCCCTCAAATTAAATCCGCTACCGGATCCTCGGTGTAGTTTGTTTTTATATGATTAACTTTTCAAAATAATAATTAATTAAAAACAAAGTTCTGAGCATTATATGGTATACAAGGTTCCAATGTACCTTTGTTCCGGCTCTGTGGACTATACCTACTGTTGCACACTATTTATAGGTGCTATTTATATTTACATTCATTGATAAAAAAAAACAGCTCATTCATTTAATAGACATGAGACGCCTCAACGCTTTGTAACCCTAAATGATTCCTGACAGTGGGAGTAATGCCTAATGCATGAGAGGCACCCGCATCGGGCCTCAATCCTGGTCTCGGCTGACCCCTTCGCCACCCTGGGACCAGGAGGAGATGGGGGTTGCCACGTGGCATGGATGGGGGTGCCGTCCACCACCGTATGGTTGCCTCCACAATATGCTTATGCATTTCCATCGAGTGGCACGCGACCCTCATCTTCCTAAACCATGGGATAATTATTTCAAATAGCCTCCACTCACCTGGTTTTTTTCTTCTTCACTCCGTTGTTGTCCGTCTTCTTGCTTTTGGATTCGGATTTCTTGCTCGTCGTGCTCGTAGTGACAGAATCCACGGCAACTAGAATCAGACGAATTGATTCATTATCAAGCCATTCTGATAAAACATAAAAAAAGAAAACTATTTTTTAACTTTTTTTATTTTAATGATGATAAAATGTATTGTATGTTTATTTATAATATTGCGGGCATTTCATACACTTACGAATCATTTTAGCCCTTACAAAATATTTATTACAATATAAAAATATTTATTAAACAATAAAAACTATTTATTTTCAATCTTCATGTTATGTTTCAAAATTTTCAAATATCATATTCCAACTCAAATTCATTCCGAGGAGCTTGCATAACGCTGTTAAAATATTTTAAATACATTAATTCCAGCTTTCTTTTTTCAATAGTTTTTCGGCTAATGTCCTCAAAATAGGATAATGCTTTTTCTTTATTTACCCATATTTGTTCCTGTGAGTGATTTAAGCTATCGATCACAGGCCATCTACGGTAAAATATAATCATGTTTCACAGAAAAAAGTATTTAAAACTATCCCTTAAAGTATTCTTGTTCGTATAATAAAATTCCCTAGATAATATAATAAAGTTCCTATAATCAAGAACCACTTAAACACCATTTCATATAGGTAGTTAATTTCTTTATTTTATTTCAAATTAATTATCGTTATATATATATATATATATATATATATATATAGCTTTCGGGCTGAAGTCCCCCCCCCCAAATTAAATCCTGGATCCGCGATTTCTATAGATAATTAATGTTTTCTACCGATAATTAACGTCGAAATTCACAAATAAGTATTTCAGAGTTTATTTCGAACAAAAATGTACTTGATGGCTTTTGTGTAATAAAAGTACGTTTTAACAATCTCTAAATGTGACTAAGGCCGCTTAATGATTAAATATATCCCCAAAAGCATTATTGTTCCTGTAAGATCATTTTTATTTTAATATGATTTCTTGTAGTTTATTTCTAAAGTAATTACCGTTATAAGTATATAAATGCCTCCTTCGCTCTCCCCCCCCCCAAAAAAAAAAAATCTGGATCTTCTATGGAACCTAAGATAACTGAATCAAACTCGGAAAGTAAAATATCTTAATTAAACAGCCCTACGATCCGCTGAATATATACTTGTGAAGGCATTCTATTGTTAATTAAATGAAGTCTCATAATGAATAACAAATATATATTTTTAACAATAAATTAAAAATTATAACCAAATTAAAATTAATTGTAAAGGCATTTTAACAAATCTTATTTTAAAAAAATCTAATAAGCTATTTTTAATACTCAAACAGAGGCGTCAGGTATAAATCACTGACATATTTGTGAATGTGATTATTATAAAAAATAAGGCTTTTAGCATAAATGTTTGAATAATGTAATATTAGGCCAGAAGGGTTATAAAAATCGTTGATTGTTGTTAGTTTAAACATGTGGACTTGAAAATTTGATGTTGAAGAGCCTGTGTGTCCTATCAGCCATGTCTTCTTAATTGAATGAATCATTCAACGAGCGAAAGGTCAAATTTATATCGTACATATCGATTATAAGTGACGTCTTTTCTGATTGACCGTTGCTTTTTTTTTTTCATTTTTCTTTTTTTTTTTAGTTAATTGCGTAGACAAAAGATCACTTAGCTTATAATACTTTTTTCGTTTGGAATTTTTACTTTAGGACATATTGGTTTGAAGATGATAATTGGAGTTTCGTCTAATATTATAAAAAATAAATAAATAAAATTTATGACCAATTGCTATATACTATCAACAGTTTTAGCACGCAACAAGCCAAAATTGAAGAGTTCAAATCATAATTTTTTACGGCGAAAACTAAATATAGCAAAATTATATATTTATTATAATTATTTTCGTGGCTCATTTTCATTGTTCCGTATTTATTTCTGTGACTGATCTGAGAAATAAATAATTATAGTCATCGGTACAGACCAATTTTTAGAATATTGTTAGGATACTTCTTAAACCTCGTGAATGGCTTCATCGCATCATAACCTATAACTTTTTATTTACGAAAATTCTCTGAGATGAGAATTTTTTCAATATGGAGATTAGTAAACTTTGTTTATATAATAAGGTACTTGAAATCCATAAGCGCTCATTTGCTTTCATCTTTAATCATAAGGTAATTTAATCACAAAATCGAGAAAAAAAAGAGGCCTAAATATTGCTCAATTTGGCTCTACCCTCAAAAATGTCAAATTAATGAGATTATCTAAGGCAAATAGACTATTTTTTTTTGGATTTAAATATTTATTTGCACCTTCAACTTGTGTTGTCAATCAGCAAATGTGCTGGGAATACGAGAAATAATGACATGTGAGGCACGTGGAAGGAAAGTAATCTTGAATTACTTAGGTTGTTTAAGGAAGGAGATCTCTCACCCAACGTCTTTTTAGCCTCCTCCTCACGTTCTGGTGTATGTCAGCTGTGGCCATGTCTCTTATTAATCTGTTGTGATGTCCGTTTAAATTAGTATATTTGTTAGTCCCGTACCAAGGTACTTTTGTTATGATTCGTAATAATTTTGATTGAATTTTTTGAAGGTGGGTATTTTTAAGAATAGCGTATATCTGTGATGAGTATGTCCAAATGGGTTTATGTAAGTATGTATAAGTATTCAGTTTCATTCTCAGTTTTGATGATTTAGAAAAAAAGAGAGTAGAGTAAGTTGTCTGAGTCGTTTGTTAAGTATGATAGGTTTCATTTTCACATGCTAGCTGAATTTAAATTATTCAATGAGGAATAAATGTTTATATAGTAAATAAAATTTCCGACACAATATTTTTTTAGGATACATTTTTTCTCGATTGTGTGACGAAATTATCTTACGATTTAAGTGAAAAGAAAATGACTATTCATGAGATTTTAGTACCGCATTAAATTGATTATTTATCATTATTAATTAATGGTAGTAATTGATGATTATCATTTCTAAGAATTTTCGTTGATAAAAGTTTTAGGTTAAGATAAGATGAAGCAATTTACGAAGTTTTCAATTTGATTAAAAGGGGTCTGTAACACAGGCTATGTTGTCATATTTGTTTTCTTCCTTGACCATATCATTAAAATAAAGAAATATTACTGTGATAGATAACTTATTTACTATTCATTATATTATATGATATGTTATTATATGATATGTTATTATATGATATATATTATTATAGTTACCTGGTTGTTCCTTCCTTTTTGGAGGGTCCGGTAGAGGCGCTAGTTCCTGGGTATGAAACATTCCTTGCAACTGCTCCATATCCGGGCACTGCTGTCCGCTTTGTCCTTGCTGCTGTTGTAGCCCCAACATCACCTATAATAATAAATTAAATAATAATAATATTGAATATTTAAATAATAGTATTTAATTTAAATATTGTAAAATAATTTCCATTATTTTAAATTCCTCCAAAAAAAAAAAAAATTGGAAATTTTTCTAGTTTCTACAATATAACATTTCAAAGTATCCTTTTCTTGAAATTGTGTTTCATTTAAAACTATAAACATCCTTTTTCATTTTATTTATTTTTAATTCCTATTAAAAATAAATAAATTATTGCTGATAACTTTTAAAAAAATATTAAACTTTATTTATGTTTAAATATTTGTTAATCATAACATAATCAAAATGGTCTTGAAATAAATTAAGAATAAAACAAAACAGAGGACAATAACATTAAGGGGACAACGCATCAAATATTATATAGACAATTCAACTCAAAAAAATATCATGTAATTAAGGGATTTTGTTACCTGTATAGCGCAAAATTTGTGAGATATGATAAAAAAATATAAATATAATCATTTAGCATTGAAATGCTTGTGTAACATTGTTCTACTAGACTAAAAAGAAGAATGGTAAATTTTATTCTGGGACATTTAGTTCCCTAAGAATAATTATAATGAACAAAAAGATGAAAATTGTCTGGCATTATTAAAAAATAAAAAAAAAAGTTAAAAAAATGTTAGCTAATAATCTAATAACAAAGGTAGGCATAATAAACAAATAATTATCTCTGCACTAGATGGGTAAAAGAGTGATAGACCAAGATGTTAATAGGGTAATTAAAAATAAATAAAATGAAACTAACAAACAAACATGTCTTTCGTTTTACATAAAACAAAAAGAGCCTGTTTTGGAATGTTAATTAAATACTAAAAATATTTGCAGTAAAACCTTTATAAACCGATATTTAGGCGATCTCCTCCATTTTTTTGGGTTACATTATTCAACAATTATTGAACACTGTATTTGATTTACACCAAAACTAAAATTCATATAAAAAAGATTAAGTCATAATTATTAAATAAAATGTATTTTTTTAAATAAGAAGTATTATTATTCTGTGGAAATCACATTGGTTTAATTGGAAATATTGCATAATTTGTTATAATATTTAATTAAATATTGTATAATAATTAAAAAGAATGGAACCCTGATGATGTTGAAGGTCTCCGAAGACCCGGTTTATGAATGTTTTATTAACAAAAAGACATTATTCAAATGTACTTCCGAATAGTTCGGAAAAAAAAAAAAATATTTTTTATAGACTTAAAATTTCTATTTCTGTTTTTAAGTATTTCAAATTCTTACAGTAAGTTCGATGGAAATCACTTTAACAATCTTTTTCATATTTATTTGAATATGCCTGCATTTTTGCCACTTCCTCATTTGACTTTGAACAGTTCGTTTTTTTTTTGTTTTGTTTTTTCGGTAAATAAGTACTGTAATAATTTTATATTAATTTAATAAAAAAATAAATGTAAATTTAAAATTTGCAAAAAAATATTCGTTTCAGTTTATAACATGTTTTAGTAAAGTATAATTCACTTTTATTTATTTATTTATTTTTTAATGCTGGGAAAACAATTTTAAAAATAAATTATTTGAATAATTATGACTTAGATGACATACCTGTATGGAATGGACACCACTGGATTGAAGTTTACTCATGCTGCCATTTCCAGAAAAATCCGAAAATATAGCGTCGTCGAATGGAGTGCCATCCATTTCGGCAGGCTCGAGCTTGAACATTAGGTCTTCCACGGTGCCAGATGGTTCGTCGCCGAAGAAGAAGACGGGGCTCGGATTCGCGGCCAAGTCGGAAGCGAGATAAAGATACTAATTACAAACGGGCGAGAGAGATAGCGTAGAGAAAGCTCATTGATCGCTATTAATTTCTAAATTGGCCTAATCAAATTGATAAGAGGCGCTAAGCAGGGGCGAGTTAAGACCAATTCAGCCAACTAGACCCAATCGAGCTTATTTGTTACAATTGTGGAGGGTTTGGGAAGGCCTGGACCCTGCCAGTGTGCGGTAAGACACAAAACAGTGAAGAGGTATTGGGCCGGGCGGCCTCCGGTGGGCGGGGGGTGCGGTCGCGGTGGGCGTGGCCCCAACGGACCAATCACGGCTCTGCGCTTCCCCCACCAGCCGCCATCTGATTTGTCGAGCTGTCCCTCTCCTCCATTTACGCAGCCTTTTGTCTATCTCTTCAGCCATCATGAAAACGCAAACGGGTATTTGGAAAAATTGTTTATCAAATAATTCTTTGAAATTTTTTAAAAAATATACACAGTGGAATATGCCGCATCCAGAGACTTTCTTCCATGATTCTGAGATACGTGCTCATCGGGTGATGCCGAAGTCAAGGTACATATAATTTTATAATAATTTTTACATTTATTAATTATTTGTTGTAATTTTTAACTATAATCTATTTTAACTCTCTGCAATCTATCGAGAACAACAAATTAATACAATAGTCATTATTAATACAAATTTAATTTTGTTTTAATTATGTACCCAGTGCTTGAGCATTCAAAATATTTTAAATAATAATCATTTGAAAGATTAAACAATAATTATCACCCAATAATTACGGTTTCAGAATTCGTAAAAAAATAATAATTGAATATTAAAATAATAATATTTGCAACGATTTTTGTTATTTTATTAAAGCAAAAAAGATATCGTTTTCAATTTTTTTTTAATATTAACTAATAATTAATATCTCTACAGGCGTTTCCAAAACAATGTAGCTAGTATTTGAGCATTCAAAATATTTAAAATAATAATCATTTGAAAGATTAAACAATAATTATCACCCAATAATTACGGTTTCAGAATTCGTAAAAAAATAATAATTGCATATTAAAATAATAATATTTGCAACGATCTTTTTAATTTTTTTAAAGCAAAAAAGATATCCTTTAATTTTTTTAAATATTAACTAATAAGTAATATCTCTACAGGCGTTTCCAAAAACAAAAAACCGATAGCGGTTATATAAAGCGAATCAGCACTGCAATTAATAATAAATAAATAAACAACAAGACCGATAGTAAAAACAGTATTTCTAAATCTTGGATAACATTCTGAACGATTTCCTTTGTCATATTTTCTTATTTTCTCCATCAGTACAATCCTTAATTTCTGGTCTCTTTCTGTTAATGTTGGGAATAAATCAATTAATTATATTTATTTATTTTGATTTTTCTTTTCTACAAAAGTTGACCAACACAAAATTGCACCCAAAAAAGTGAAAAAAATTATAGTATTCATTAAAAAAAAATTTACTTATAATTTAATTTATATTAATTTAAAAAATATACAAATCTCAACATTTCAATATAGCGCTCCTAAAAAGCTTAATTTACTGTTGAAAATTACTTTTTAAATTATTAATTATTAAAATTGATGTAAAATATTCAATATATTGAGACAATTTTACAGTGGTAAAGTAATGATAAAAATCTTAGTTAATCAATAAATAAGATGGTGTTTCTAATGATAAGTAAAAAGTTGTAAGATAATGATACTTTAAATAACTTTAAGTTAATACGGATAACTACGATATCTTCTGAATCAAATTATCGAATCTTGAAATCGATAAATATAGAAACATATGTTAATTGTTGTTATAATTTTGTTTTAAGCAGACATATGTATTTGCTTAGCTAACGAAATATGTTTTATAATATTTTGAAGAAATATTTATTTAATGTTTTAAAAATCATTCAGTAACCCGAAAATTCTCTGGATGTTCAGAAACTGATTTTATGTGAGCAAGACTTATTTATAAATTTGTATTATATTTAATTCTTATTCTGCTATTCTATAAAGAATTAAGATTCAATTTTATTTATAAACTAAAATAATCAAATAAATTTAATGTAATTCTTTTAAATGGAAATGTTTAAGGGGCAGGCATACTAAGGTGAGAGCATCAAGGCTATACAGGTGCGGTAGGCTTAAGAAGGGGTTCGCTTATAAACTAAAATATAATTTAAAAAAAAAATTGTATAAAAACAATCACAAATTTGAAAATAATTAATTATATGTATAGTAATTAATTATGCTAAGCTAAAATTTAATTGTTTTAGAGATTACAAATTATTAATTATTAAATAATTTGATTCTTAAAGAACTAAAGAAATAGTTTTCCTATTCTAAGTTTATTACACCAATTATGAATTACTCATATTTTTTATTTCAACAATTAATTAATTTATTATTCAACGATGATAGATATTCTCGAAGTAATTAATTATATTAATTGTTTTGTAGAGTTGATTTTGTCATAAACTTAATTTAAATATTGATGAATATTTCGTTGTCAAACCCAAATAACTAAAAAAAAGGAACAAATAATATCTAGAATATTTTAACTATTAATTCCGCTATCAATCACTGCGCTTAAGAATAAGCATAAAATATAATTACTTGATTTGAATTCGGATTCAGGGATCTAGTGAAGAAAATACAATAAAGAAAAATAAGAACAAATTGAAAATAACTTTATTTTATTATTACAATAACGTGGACTAGTGAAACCAACAGAAAAATATATCCGGTAAAAATAAAACAATTATAAAAACATTTATACTGAAGTATCTATTAAACATAAGTATAACCTATACTTAAGCGTTTTATATATACCACCATATTTATTGTTATTCTTGAAAATAATTACATGTGAACCGTTAAAAAATATGTTAATACTTAATAATATTTAAACATTATAACAATGAGATATAACTTACCTCTAATTATGCCTTATTACTTTCACGTACCTATTTAAAATATAATACGATCGCAAAAAAATTCGAATCCTAGTTTTCAGTTCCAAAAATTGTCTCTGTGTGTATGGGAATAGTCTAATTAAAAAAAGAAAATTCTTAGGTAACTGAAATTGCATATTTAAGGTTTGTATATGCCTGGGATATACAAAATGACAGACTTTGTTTGTCAAAATCGGCTAACCGGAAGTGTCATTTTATATCATCGATTTCACACATCATTTCTTTGAGCGATATTCACACTTCCTCTACTTAAGTAATTAAAGAATATTATGAATCAACCAAGAATAACCGATTATTCAGGAAACGTATTTCAACCTTGTCCGATGACATAAGCGCATATTGGTCATGTGCCAGAAATGTTCGTCCCTTTGAATTGACTAAGAGAACGTCCTGCGTAATATGCTGCATTAACTAAAAATATTATAAGAATAATAAAAATCTGTTTGAGTTTTATCTTTAATTTTATACAAAGTGAGTATTTGACACCACGAAATATTTTCTCATAAATTGATTAGTGTCGTCGTCATGGGAAGATAGGAAGCGGTGTCAAACTTCCTCATCAATATTCGACATCCCAAAAAGTTGGATAATTTGAAAAAACAAAATTAATTGTTGTAAAATATTTTATTCAAAGAGTTTGTGAAATTTAAAACTGATACCAATACCGTTTAAGTTAATTTTATGAAATTTCTAATTTTGCTTGCTCTGCCCTGCCAGATATATTAAAAAAAGTTCCCCGTCTTTGAACTCATTCCTTTAAAAAAACTGTCTTCTAATTGCTGGCAATTCGTTTTTTTAAGAAACTGAATTGCCCTTATCACATTAGGATTATCTAGTTTGATTAGAAAATTAAAGTTGATTACTTGTAGAGATGAATTAGGTATTCGTTTTGTTTTTTTAATACAACATTCTCACTACGAAATATAGCTAAGCGTTTTGTAACAATCTACGAAATAATAGGTATATTTTTTAAGGCACAACACAAACATGCCTTTAAAACAATAAATTGTGAAATAATAATTATAGTAAAACACACACACATACACATATATATATATGTATATATTTGGTTTTTGAAATGAAAGAGCACAAGTTTAAATGTCGATTAGTTAATTATCAATGATAACTATGTTTCTGCTTGAATTTCTGCAATAACAGCAACTATACTTACACTTAATTATATATATTTCTGTTGGTATTACTGACTTTGAAAATATTTTGCCTCCTTAAGCCTACTCCATTTCTGCCTATCTTGGGTTATTTCTTTAAGTGATCTGCACGCTGCTCTATTGCATCTTTGTTGATTCCACCTATCCATCTGTTTTTTTGGCGTTCTGCGTGGTCTTTTTTCTAATATTGAGGCATTCGTTGTGGGAATAAACTCGGATTGAGTCCCGGAAAATTTAATGAGGAATCGGTGAGCTCGAATTGCGTCAGCAACCCTTGGGTTACCTAAACCGCTATGAAAAAACGCCCGATTCTCGCTAGATAGCCTTTTTAACACAAAAATTTCCCAATATTAAATTCAATGGGGGTATTTCTCTATGCAATTTGCTGATCTTAATCAAATGCTGAAGGTGTAGTTTCATAGAAACATTTCTTTTCAACTTGCTATCCTGAACAACTTATATATTTTTTACACATAAAACATAAAATGTATAAACTTCAGTTCGTTACATTTTGGGGTGGGGTGGCCGAACTGGCTAACGCGTGTGTGCAACACCACGCGTTGCCTGGCAACCTGATAACTGAAGTTTAGACAATAATTGCGAGTTACACAATAGAAAATGCGACAAAATAGAAATAAGTGCGAGTTTGTGTCTCGGTGCCGGTGGGTGTTTTTAACTCTGGCATTAATCCCCCGCCTTCATCCCCTGGTCCGTGAAAACGCCCATATAGCCTAAAATGCGAGGAAGGAGATCAAAAAATATATAAATTTCAGTTTATTCATCCCACATTCAAGCAAGAAAATGAAGAAAAAAAAATTAAATGATATGCTAGCTTATACCAGCGGAAGCATGACCAATTTGATTTCCTAAAATGTGTATCATTTTTCTCATTGAATAAATTTAGCTTTTATTTATATATTTTTCCAAAAATTGTAAAGAAAGGTTCACATTTTGTATTAATAGTTCATCTTTTCAACTATAGATTGAAATATTTTATCCTGGTAAAAATCATTAAACCTTTCATTATTGTTTTACTGTGATTTATTGTTAAAATTCAGTCAATGCATATTTATGGCAAATCATTTATTATAGCTATAAAATTCACTGAATAGGCTTAATTTATTTTTCTCAGCCAATCAACCGTGACGCTGATAGGTCTCACCAAGCCTGGTTATCTAGAAAAGGTACGGGTTACCAATTCCAGCTCTTTTTGAGTTTTGGAACCCAACTCGAGCTATCCCCATTGTTCTATCCATTCTGATGGATTGCTCCGAGCTACATGTGCCGCTCCTTTTAAACATCCTTAAAATAAAAAGTAAGTTATAGTTATTATTCCTAACTTATTCAAATTAAAATATTCAAAATAATTTTAAAGGATAAATAAAACGGTTTACTTCATTCAGCGAGGTTAATTTTTATTTTTTAGACTTATATTAGACTTCTTTCACTTTTTTTAAATTTTGATACGTTACTTGGAAACTGAAAATATTTTTCCAACATCAATGGTTTGGGGCTGTTGTTGGTATCTTTGTTTAAAATTTATAAAACAAATATATTTTTTAAATGCTTACTTTAATAAATCTTTATGATTTTTCATAAATTCAGCAAACGTATTATTTTTGACACATTCTTTTGAAAACGGCTAGTTCGATTTGATCCAAAATTGAATGAAATTTTAAGAATAATATTTGACTTTTTGGGTATCAATTCAATAATTTAAATTAATATAAATAACTGTTAAGAATATAATGGCTGTAAAATGTGGAAGACCTTGATCATGTCACATGAGAGGTTGGGTAAATTTTTTTTTATGAAGTAATTCAATTTTAGTGTGTATTTAAAAAGTTAATTTAAACTGTATTCTAAAACCATCGAATTCCTCTCGTGTCTAGTCCTTAAAATCCAAAATCCTTCGTAAAATCCTCAATGTTCGTTACTTTGTCACAAATAAAATCATTCATAACGACCTTAACGTACCATATGTCTCCGCTTTAGCCAAATCCAGATACTTATCCTTCCATAACAAACTTCAAAACCAACCGAATCCTCTCGTGCCAAACCTTGCTTCCTCCTTGATCCCTGATATCCCTCCAAGACGTGTGAAAAGAAGATGTCCTCGTGACCTACTTATGTAAATATATTATTAGAGTGCTACCAATGGGTAGTTTCTCAACAAGCGTTTTCATGTGATTCTATTATTACCTTGTGCACATTTACTGGATGTATTTTTAATTTATACAGTTGTAAATAAATAAAAAAAAACAACTGTATTCTTTGGTTGATTCCATGTTACTGGCATGACACTACCGTTACGTAGATTCCATGTAATTTTCAGTAAATTTGAATTTATATTTCCTCTGAGTTTGTAAAAACAAATAAAACTTGCGGATATCAAATCCGAGGGATTACTTTATTTTCGAAACCGGCTTTTTCCGGTGATTTTATTTTCCAACAAAAAATTATAGACTTTGAAATATTTATAATTGTTTAGCCAATAACAACTGTGAGGAAGTTATACTGACTTTGTTCCTGGACGTTTTTCATTTTGAAGTTGAAGTGTTTTCCTCTTTAAGGAACTAAAAGAACTGGACTATGAATTGTAAGGTTATTGGCTGTTAAGTGTTATCGATGAATCGATTATACCTATATAATAGAGATCTAGGATGAGAGATAGGAGGGTTAATGACTGGTTGGCTACCCGCGGGGGATTGGTCCTATACTGTACCATAGGGGCGTCATTCACACCTAGCGCTTTGTCTAGGTTACAGAAAACTCTAGGAGGCTCTCTATAGGTAGTGTTGTATCTATCA